GTTAAGAAAAATCCATCTACTTTCCTTTTTTTTAAGGTTTTTGTTTAAATTTCAATTAACAGGCTAATACTAGTTTCAGGTGTACAATATGGTGATTCAACACTTGTACAGCAACTCCTGTGCTCATCACAACAAGTGCACTCCTTAATCTATTTCACGCATTCTCCCACCCACCTCCGCTCTGGGTCCTCCCTTCTCCATCAGTTTGTTCTCTATAGTTAAGAGCTTGTTTCTGGGTTTTCCTCTCTCTTTTTATTTCCCTTTGCTCATTTGTTTCTTAAATTCCACATGTAAATGGAATTATATGGTATTTATCTTTCTGACTGCCTTATTTTGCTTAGTGTAATATACCTAGCTCCATCCATGTTGTTGCAAATGGCAAGATTTCATTCTTTTTTTCCTATGACTAATATTCCATTGTGTATATGTATATATATATATATACATATATATATATATATATATATGTATATATATATATATACACACACACACACACACACTACATCTTTATTTACTCATTAGTTGATAGACACTTCAACTATAATTTGGCTATCATTTATAATGCTGCTGTAAACTTTGTATGTATTGAATTAGGGGTTTTGTATTCTTTGGGTAAATACCTAGTAGAGCAATTGCTGGATCACAGAGTAGTTCTAACTACTGAGGAAGCTCCATACTGCTTTTCACAGTGGCTCTACCAGTTTGCAGTCCCACCAATAGTGCGAGAGGGGTCCCCTCACTATTTTCCTTTTAAATCAATGGTGACAAAAATAAAAGAGGAGAATATTTAAAAATAAACACACAGGGCCAACAGACACATGAAAAAGTGCTCCATATCACTCGGCATCAGGGAAATACAAATCAAAACCACAATGAGATATCACCTCACACCAGTCAGAATGGCTAAAATTAACAAGTCAGGAAATGACAGATGCTGGCGAGGATGCGGAGAAAGGGGAACCCTTCTACACTGTTGGTGGAAATGCAAGCTGGTGCAACCACTCTGGAAAACAGCATGGAGGTTCCTCAAAATGCTGAAAATAGAACTACCCTATGACCCAGCAATTGCACTGCTGGGTATTTACCCTAAAGATACAAACGTAGTGATCTGAAGGGGCATGTGCACCCTAATGTTTATAGCAGCAATGTCTACAATAGCCAAACTATGGAAAGAACCTAGATGTCCATCAACAGAAGAATGGATAAAGAAGATGTGGTATATATACACAATGGAATACTATGCAGCCATCAAAAGAAATGAAATCTTGCCATTTGTGACGACATGGATGGAACTAGAGGGTATCATGCTTAGCGAAATAAGTTAATCGGAGAAAGACAACTATCATACGATCTCCCTGATATGAGGGAGAGGAGATGCAACATGGGGGGTTAAGGGGGTAGGAGAAGAGTAAATGAAACAAGATGGGATTGGGAGGGAGACAAACCATAAGTGACTCTTAATCTCACAAAACAAACTGAGGGTTGATGGGGGGAGGGGGGTTGGGGGGGTGGGGTTATGGACATTGGGAAGGGTATGTGCTATGGTGAGTGCTGTGAAGTGTGTAAACCTGGCGATTCACAGACCTGTACCCCTGGGGATAAAAATATATGTTTATAAAAAATAAAATTTAAATAAATAAATAAATAAACACACAGAATTATGTCTTTTCTCCACAACCTAATATGAAGATCTATTCCTAGGAGCAGCCAATAATACTAGAAGATAATTTTTTCCAGGTCTGATACAAGACATAAATCTACAAATTCAGGAAGCACAACAAATCCTAAACAGAATAAGATAAAAATGAAGCACCATACATGATAATGTTATTAAACTACAGAACTATAGAATAAAATAAGAGAACAAAGGAAATGAGGGGAATAACTCTCAAGCAGAACTCCAGAAGCAGTTAAATTAACATTAAAGAATAAGAGTAAAAAACACCCAAAAACATAATCAGTAATAGTATACCAAAGGCAGAGAGGGAGGTGGTGGTAATTCACCCAGAGCGGCAAAACACCATCTATCAAAAATTTTAAAACAATGATAATAAAGTGGAATAAAAATCAGTTTGCTTTTTAGGGAGAGTGGGAAGTACAAGCTTCCAGTTATGGAATGAGTAAGTCACAGGGATGAAAGAATATGGAATATAGTCAATACTACTGTAATAGTCTTATATAGTGATAATGGTAGTACATTGCAGTGAGCACAGCATAATGTATAGAGAAGTTGAATTGCTATGTTGTATACCCGTAACTAATGTAACATTGTGTGTGAACTATACATTAACAACAAAAAAATAAGCTTGCTTTTTAAGAATTGCAATGTCAGGGGTGCCTGGGTAGCTCAGTTAAAAGTGGCCAACTCCTGGTTTTTGCTCAGGTCATGATTTCAGGGTCCTGGGATGGAAACCCATATCGGGCTATGTGCTCAGCAGGGAGTCTGCTTGATGATTCTGTCTCCCTCTGCCCCTCCCCCTGCAAGTGCATGAGCACACTCTCTCTCAAAATAAAACAATCTTTAAAAAAGAGATGAATTAAAATGTCAGTGATACTTTTGCAGGTGCAACAGAACACTTGGAATGCTGCTGGTTCAGACAAAGAAGTCTTTATTAAAGAAACTCTTTAAGACTATTTTTTTTTCCTTAAGATTTTATTTATTTATTTATTTATTTGATAGAGATCACAAGTAGGCAGAGAGTCGTGCAGAAGGTGTGGGGGGAGCAGGCCCCCACTAAGCAGGGAGCCTGATGCGGGGCTCAATTCCAAGACCCTGGGATCATGACCTGAGCTGAAGGCAGAGGCTTTAACCCACTGAGCTACCCAGGTGTCCCTAAGACTGTATTTTAGAAAAAAAATGATAAAAGAAAAAATATCTGAGATACAAGAAGAAAATATGAACAAAGAAATGTATAAGCATAGATAAACCTAAGTAAACACTGCGTTAAATAATAATACCCAATTGCAGTTAAAAAAATTTTTCAAAAATTAAAGACAGAACTACCACATAATGCAGCAATTCCACTCCTGGGTACTTATCTGCAGAAAATGAAAACACTTATTCAAAAAAAGGTATATGTATCCCCATGTTTATTGCATCATTATTTATAATAATCAAGATACAGAAACAATCTAAGTGCCCAATGATGGAAAAATGGATAAAGAAAATGGTGTGTAAACACACACACAACAGAATATTATTCAGCCATAAAAATGAATGACAATTTGCCAAATACCATACCATCTGATATGTGGGATCTAAAAACAAAACAAAAACAAAAACAAAACACACACACACACACCAAGCTTATAGATACAAAGAACAAGATTAGTGGTTGCTACTGGTAGGTGGGCCAAGTGGGTGAGGGGGTCAAAAGGTACAAACGTCCAGTTATAAAATCAGTAAGTCATGGGGATATAATGTACATCATGATGACTATGGTTAATAAACTGTATTGTGTATTTGAAAGTTGTTAAAAAAGGAGATCTTAAAAGTTCTCATCATTGGGGCGCCTGGGGGGCTAAGTGGGTTAAGCCTCTGCATTCGACTCAGGTCATGATCTCAGCGTCCTGGGATCGAGCCCCGCATCTGGCTCTCTGCTTAGCAGGGAGCCTGCTACCCCCCTCTCTCTCTCTGCCTGTCTCTCGGCCTACTTGTGATCTTTCTGTCAAAGAAATAAAATCTTAAAAAAAAAAAATAATAAAGTAGATAAAAAAATTCTCATCATAAAAAAACATTTTGTAACTGTGTGGCAATGGATGTTAATTAGATTTACTGTAATGATCACAATATATTTCATAATATATTTCACAATATATACAAATATTAGATCATTATGTTGTACACCTGAAACTAATATGCTGTATGTCAATTATACTTCAATTAAAAAAAGAAAGTTAAACAAAAAAAAAATCTGAGGGGTATTAAAAGCAAGTATGTTCAAATTTGACTGATAAGGATTTCCGATGGCCTTGTGAAGAAAAGAATATTTGGTACCATGATTTCCTGTGTAGACAAAGGTGTGACTGTGGTTTTATGATTTTACTGTAAACCTTCATGTGCAAAATTCAATACAGAACCACTGAGATAATATTTGGTAATCTTTTCTAGTTCTCAGGGAGAAAAACCCACCAAAGAATGAAACATCCATAACTCAAAAGAGAGACAGAGAGAGAAGGGGCAGTGACTGGGGTTCAATTATTCTAGAGGTTGTGATTAATTTCAGATTTTTAGTTAAGTATAAATATTAAATATAGTAACACTAAAAAAAAGAGAACAGACTCTAACTTTTAAGTCAATAGATGGAAATAAAAATAAATTACAAATTCATGTTACCTAAGTTCAACTTGGCCCTTATTATGGCCTGACAATCCTTTCCTTCATCTGCGGATTCTCACTTCTTATAGTCACAATTTCCAAACTTTTCAACAAGAGCTCCTCCTACAACGCCTCCATGCTATAAAATAACATTCCCTACCAGCTCACTAAGAAATTCAAAGTTATCTGTACATCCTTAATTGCCCTAGGTTAATAATATCTGCTTTGCTCTAAAAATGGCACCTCTTATCTCTCTATATGGACAGGCTAGTTTCATTTGGTACTTACAAATGTGCTCAGTTCTGTTTCACCCTAAAATGTCCTCCCTTCAATTCTGGTACCTCTTTTTAAATTAAGGCCTTTTTTCTTAGCCATAAAGGGTGGAAAATTTAGCTTCTGTTTTCTTCCTACATTCCTGTATTTTTTCTTTCCAACATAACACTGCAAACCGGCTCAGGATAGGTGTCCCTAGGACTGTATTTTAGAAAAATAGGTATGATCAGAGGAGGTGCCATAAAGCAAAGATTGGGTATAATTTTCTTTATATATCATCATGAGTAAGCATACATGGAATAAATATTAAAAGTCTTTTTTATATACCTACTATTGCTTTCTTACATTTATGAGGGTTGGAAAACTGTGACAACTTATTCTATATTCAAGCCTGAGAGCCTCTTACCCTTTTTCAGTTTCCGGACAGCCAACATACAATGACTAGGAGAGAGATCCCATATTCTTAAGGTTTTATCATCACTTACAGTAGCACAGATGGGCAGATAAGGATGTGTAGCCAAACCCCACACCTCTCCTTCCATGTGTCCCTACAAAGAGAACACAGTTAAGATCAATTTAACCTAAATATATGCGTATTTAGAAGAAAACTACAGACAACAACTGATAATATATAATGATAGGATAATAAATACTATAGTAATCTAATAAAACTTTTCTCTTTATCTTTGGACTATACCTTAAAATGCTTTTGTATCAACCTTCTCTTCACAATTACAATATAATCAAGTTAGTGTCAAAATTAGTTTAAAAATCCTGAAATTTCACTGAGTGGAGAGAATAGGAATTGGCTGCCTTGGAATATTAAAAATCGCCATACAGGAGGAACTCTGTGCATTTGAAAGTAAGGAGCGCTGTAGACCTACTCCCCAGTCAAACTGATGAAATTAAAAAAAAAAATTTAAGGTCTCTGGAAATGGTTCCAAGGAGTTATGACAAAAGAAACATTTATTCAAAAAATCTGCTAAAATCTGGTAAGAACAATGGGAGTTTTGCAATATTTGAACTGAGACCCACTCCTTTCCTGCCTCTTTCCAACTCACCGACTTGAAAAGTCCACACCAGCCTGACGTAACCAAGAACACAGAGTATGGGCACTCTCTTTCTCTACCCCCTAATCTAATGGGCTATCTTCCCAGAAGGAGCAGATGACTGGCATTTCATCTTGCCCCCAGCTACCTGCTAGAGGTTAAATCCTTGATGGACCCCCTTATTCTGAGATGGAGGCTCTACATTGGGAGTCATGCCACTAAGAATACAGGGGCTTTAATACAATCCAAGAAGACCTAAGGCTACTACTCCCCAATACTCCCACCCTAAACTGAGCACTCAGCTTCTAAAGCAAGGAACACTCAAAAAGGAGCACTCCATTGCTCTCACCCTCAACTCCAGAGCCTTGGATCAGAGATTGTGCCTGGAGGAAGAAGCAAGCAGTAAAACAGCTCCTAATCTCTTCTCAAATGAAATGACTGCATTATTACATAGTATAGGAAAGTTTAAGCCTAAAGATGCTTTTGGAAACAATGAAGGTTATGATGAAAGTTACTTGGAGGTAACTGGTACTTATCATTTATATAAGCTAAACAGAAGGCCAGTGAGTTTGTCCAACAGAACCAGGGTAATCTCAGGGGAGAATGCTTCAAGTCAAAATAAATCTCAAACACTAATCTAGGGAATGGATGTCCATTTTAGGGAGCCTGAATTTGATCAGTTTGATCTGTTGGGCAATTTATGCTCTGGGGCAAATTTTGAGAACAGTAGAGCAATCAGCCAGCAATGTAATGGACTTAGTGGCTGGGTATGGCAGGGAAAAAGACTATCAAAGAGGAGAGAACACTTCCCGAATCATTTTATGGAGCCAAGGAGTCTGATAGCAAAATCAGACAGACATCACAAAGAAACTATAGACCAACTATCCCTTATGTACAGTATGTGGATGCTAAAATCCTCAAAAATAGCAAACGGATTCCAACACATACAAAAACAATCATACACAAAAACAATCTGGGGCTTATCCCAGGAATGCAAGGTTGGTTTAAAAGGTGAAAACTGGGGCGCCTGGGTGGCTCAGTGGGTTAAAGCCTCTGCCTTCGGCTCAGGTCATGATCCCAGTGTCCTGGGATCGAGCCCCACATTGGGCTCTCTGCTCCGCGGGAAGCCTGCTTCCTCCTCTCTCTCTCTGCCTGCCTCTCTCTGCCTACTTGTGATCTCTGTCTGTCAAATGAATAAATCTTTAAAAAAAATAAAAAATAAAAAAAATAAAAGGTGAAAACTAATTAATGTAATATCCCTTATCAATAGAATAAAATAAAAACCACATGATCATCTCTCAATAGACAAAAAGCATTTGACAAAGTACATACTGTTTCATGATAAAAACTAGCATCAAACTAGGAACAGAAGAGTAATTCTTCAATCTGATAAAGAACATCTATGAAAAATCCAGTTAGCATTAAACTTAATGATAAGGAGTTGTGACTTCAAGCCTCATCTTGGGTGTAGAGATTACTTAAACATAATGGTAAAATATTGGATGCTCCCTCCCTAAAATTAGAAACAAGACAAGGATGTTCTCACTACTTCCAGTCTACATTGTACTGAAGATTCCAGCCAGGATAATTAGGCAAGAAAAAGAAGTAACAGGCATTCTGATTGGAAAGGGAATATTAAAACTATATTTACAGCTCATATGATCTTATGTTGAGAAAATCTGAAAAATCCACTAAAAAATTATTAGAATAAATGAGGTCTGTTATTTTAAAAAACAAAACTGAGATCTCTATATTGTGAACTATAAAACTATTGAAAAAAGTTAAAGAAGATCTAAAAAAAAAAAAGAGATCCCATGTTCATTGATATAATTTAATATTGTTAAGAGATGCCACTCCCCAAACTGATCCACAGAATACTACTACAAAGACTACTGTACATGTTTTTTCTTAATACATCGGAATGTACTTCTGTTGTGTGCATACATCTACATACTTTTTAAATTCCAGTGTAGATAATAATACAGTGTCAGTTTCAGGAAAACAAGAGTGAATCAACAGTTCCATACAGTACTCAGTGCTCACCAAGATAAGTGTATTCTTTTTTTTTTTTTTTTCAAAGATTTTATTTATTTATTTGTCAGAGAGAGAGAGAGAGAGAGAAAGCACACAAGCAGGCAGAGGTGGAGAAAGAGGCAGGATCTGGGCTAGGCAAGGAGCCTGATGCAGGGCTTGATCCCAGGACCCTGGGATCATGACCTGAGCCGAAGGCAGCGGCTTAACCCACTGAACCACCCAGGCGTTCCGATAAGTGTATTCTTAATCCCCTTCATCTATACCACCCATCTTGCAACCATAACCCCTCTGGTAACCATCAGTTTGTTCTCTCTAGTTAAGCGTCTGGCTTTTGGTCCCCCCTTTTTTTTTAAGATTTTATTTATTTGACAGAGAGAGACACAGCAAGAGAAGGAACACAAGCAGGGGGAGTGGGAGAAGAAGCCGGGTTCCTGCTGATCAGGGAACCTGACGCAGAACTCCATCCCAGGACCCTGGGATCATGACCTGAGCCAAAGGCAGAGGTTAAACTACTGAGCCACCTAGGTGTGCCTAGATTTCATTCTTTTTTATGGCTGAATAATAATCCACCGTGTGCAGGCCTGTGTATATGTATCTATATACATCTTTTTTACACATTCATCTATTGATGGATACTTTGGTTGCTTCCACAATTTGGATACTGTAAATAATGCTGCAATAAACAGAGGGTGCATGTACCTCTTCAAATTAGTGTTTTTGCATTCTTAAGTTAAATACCCTGTAGTGTGATTACTGAATCACAGGGTAGTTCTAGTTTTAATTTTTTGAGGAACCTCCATGCTGCTTTCCAGAATGGCTGTCCCAGCTTGTATTCCCACCAGTAGTGCACAAGTGTTCCTTTTATTCCACATCCTTACCAATGCTTGTTTCTTGAGTTTTTTATTTTAGCCATTCTGACAGGTGGGATGTGATACCTATCTCATTGTGGTTTTGATTTGTATTTCCCTGTATGTCTCTACACTTTTTATTTTATTTTTATTTTTTTTAAAGATTTTATTTATTTATTTGACAAGAGAGAGAGATCACAAGTAGGCAGAGAGGCAGGCAGAGAGAGGGGGAAGCAGGCTCCCCGCTAAGCAGAGAGCCGGATGCGGGGTTTGATCCCAGGACGCTGAGATCACGACCTGAGCTGAAGGCAGAGGCTTTAACCCACTGAGCCACCCAGGTGCCCCTACACTTTTAATTATTATAGTTTTATATTATCTCATTTCTAGCATGAAGTTTCTCAACAATTTCTGTACTATTTTTTTTTCTAGATAATTTTTAAAAACTCTTCCCAGAATTTCTGAAAAATTTCATTTGGATTATGATCATATAGAATTTATAAGTTATTTAGATCTTTTAAATATTTATTTATTTTTTTTTTTAAGATTTTATTTATTTATTTGACAGAGAGAGATCACAAGTAGGCAGAGAGTCAGGCAGAGAGAAAGGGGGAAGCAAGCTCCCCGCCGAGCAGAGAGCCCGATGCGGGGCTCGATCCCAGGACCCTGGGATCATGACCTGAGCTGAAGGCAGAGGCTTTAACCCACTGAGCCACCCAGGCACCCCAGTTATTTAGATCTTTTAGATCTTTAGTAAAACTTTATAGTTTTCTTAACACTGATCTTGCATATTGTTTCCTGGTTATTGTAGTTTTCATTTCTTCAAAAATTTTTGGTTTTTTGTACCATATTTTCTACTATTTTTGTACCATATTTTCTAACTGATTATTACTGAATTGAAGAAATGCTATTGATTTTTACACGTTGATTCTGAATCTCACTTTACAGGACTCCCCAATTTGTTCTAATGATTTTTCAGTTTATTCTCTGGAATACCCAAGATATAGGGTTATAATATCTGCAAATACGGACAGTCTTATCCATTTGTTTCCAGTGCTTACACTTCATAATGTTTTTCTGAACTGGCTAAGACCTCACACACAATTTTGGACAATAATGGTCAGAATGGTATCCTTGTCTTATTTCTGATATTTAGGAGAGAGACAACAGATATTTAAAATCTTACACACTATAATAAACATAAAAAATAATAGGATGTCATTTATCACTTCAAACCTTTTCTTACAATTATAAAATTGCCTGTGTTTTTGAAAAGTTCTGTCCATAGATTCATCCGTAAAAGTGTACTTGTACTGATATTTTCTAAGAGATCATAAACATGTTAAACACCATGACTCCATCATCTTTTTATTTCAAAGAAATATTATGTGACTGAAGTTCAAGAGTATGACACCAAATTTGGACAATAAATTTAATATACCATGTTTGTAATTTGCTTACAAATTCCCCTTGGCACATTACATTAGGATTTTATATTAACATTAAAGTATGTGCAGTGTTCTCATCTATGTGTGCTCTGTGTTGTTTTAACAGAAGTGAGGTGGGAGGAAAGTGGGGTTGGAGAAGAAATAAGTCTGTAATAAGAAAGAACATAATTCTTTTTCAGCATAAAAGGTAAGCTCAAAATTGGTGTTACCATATAGAGTTGCAGGAGGACAACTTTTCAGTAGGGTAGATCCTACCTCATTTGCTATGTTCTATAATATTGATTTGTCTTCCTACTTTCAGAAAAACAATACATATAGGAAACGTACAACTAAAAAATTAATACAGCATTCCTGATAAAAATGTTAAGGATCAGCTGATCCTGCTCCTTCATTTTATATTTCTACCATACAAAAGTTTACATTGCTAGATTTTTATTGTTAACATTTTCACTGACAAATGTTTTCAGCAATAAAATTTTTAGCATACGTTCATTTATTTTTTTAAATTAGAAACTTAATAATGAAAATAAAGACTTTCAAATAAAAACAACTGCCTGACATTCAATGAATATACTTCAAAGAAATAAAAAATATGAAATAAAGTGACTTGGTTTAATTAATTATAACTGTTTTTTCTTTTCATTGGTTTCTTGTTTTACGATAAGAAATTACTTAAAATAATGGCAGTTACTCCACATGATAACATGCGTATTTATTTACTGGTATCTACTCAGCTATAATTAAATTAAAAATTTTTTGGTATGTATTATCAAATATTTCCCCAATTAATTTAACATTATTTTCCATTACTATTTATTTTTGGCTTTTATGTATTGAATCAACTGCATACAAAGAAAAAAAACTACATTATCTTTTCAAATTACCTGGACCAGAAGTGTTATTGGGCCACTTTTATCCACTTCTAGTATTTCACCATTCTTTGTGCCAACTAAAATATGACCATGTCCTAATGATATGGCACGTATAGATGGGTTATCTTCCAAGAGAAGACCTGAAATGTTAAATGAAGATATTCTTCTAGGTATAAAGTTACTAGAACACAAAGATGTATATATTGCCAATGATGCTCTTTTGACAATTAAAATCACATTACCAGGTTGCTTTCCCCTGTATTTTAAATATTCTAATAAATGCACTGCATTTTCCCAAACCACTCAATTTGCTAATCTCAAAAGAATCACCTACATACTATAATTCCCTATTATCCCAGATCTTTTACTACTGTTCTGTTGACTGTTTCTTTTCCTCTTATATTTGTGTATTTGCCCCTCCGCATTCACCTCCTTACCTTCTTGGAGCACCTACAATATTCTGGTTAGTAATTCTAATTCAACTTAAGATTAATTCATTTATGTAGACTGTGTCCTAGGAAGGCTTCAGAGATGTAACTGGTAAACATAACATAGCCAGCTCCTGCTCTTACAGAGCATACAATGAAGGAAACAGACCCTCTGTGAGGAGTGTATTGAAACAGGGCAATTGTAAGGGAATTTTCCCTTTCTTGAGGGGGTAGAAGGGAGATGGAAGTGGAAGAAATCACCTTATTGAGATCTGAAAATGAGTCTGTGGTCAGGTAATTGGAAGAGGCAAGAGGGAGGAGAAAGGGCAAATTTTAGGCCAAGTAATAGCATACAGAAAGGCCTGGAGGTTACAGAGAATGTGATGTAGTACCTTAACACATTGATGAAAGGGTAAAAGGAAGGGCATGCAAGGATAGACAGGAAAGGTCAACAAAACACGAATGTGAAACAAAATGCCAAGCTTAAAAACAAATTCTTGACTGGTGGTAAGTGTGACGCTCATGTGTCAATTTTCTCTGAAACATTAAAAATGATCAAAATTACCATGAATAATCTTGTGCTTTGTTAATATTTTGCCACCTTTATCAAAGAAAATAGATTTTTGAAAGGACAGCAAGAATTGTGGCTCTAGTTAAATGGCTTCTCCCAATAAATTCTGATGCCTATCTAGTAAAGAAGGAAAAATGTATTTCATGTGCTCCACCTCAGGGACCACACATGTTAATGAGTAATTAATAGCTTATCCTACAAAGGGAATTAAATTTAAAATCATCTTTATTTTATTCTTTTTTTGAAGATTTATTTGACAGAGAGAGAAGAAGAGAGCATAAGCAGGCAGAGGAAGGAGGAAGAGCAGACTCCCCACTGAGCAGAGAGCCCGATGTGGGGCATGATCACAGGGCTCTGGGATCATGACCTGAGCTGAAGGAAAATGCTTAACCGACTGAGCCACCCAGGCACCCCTCAAATCACCTTTAGATCCTGGTGCCAAAGCAGCTCTTTTGATAGCATAGGTCTTGAGACATCTTTCAAAGGAGTCATCCCAAAGAGCTACTACACCATCTTTTCCTCCAGTTACAAATCCCTTTGAAAGTAAAATCTTCAAGTTAATAAAGATCTAAATATTTCTAAAAATAAGAATCTTCCTTACATTGAAAAATTCTAGAGGAAAGAACATTAACAGCTAAAAGTTACAGCTTGTGAGCAAATTAGCATAAAAATCAATTGTGTTTTTTATATATTAGCAAGGAATCTGCAAAAATATTTACAGGGACACTGAACAATCTACTTTTAGGACAAAACTTTAAGAACAAATTTTTAATCTGCAATCATAAGGTAGTTCTAACACTTTCAACAAGATACATATTTTCTCTTGGAGGCTTCATAATCCCATCCTTCATATAAACAGAGGATCACAGGATATGGTGATAATATGGTCAAATAATTGTGGACACATAGAAAGGGATTAATAAATATTAAGTTAAACTTTTTTTTCATAGCAGACCCATTTCACTGTGTTCAGGAGTTTGAAAAAGGAATAAAAGAAGATAGGAAGACTCTGGTTCACAGATTATTAATGAGTGGCTCTGCTTAGCACAAAGACAATATTCCTTTACTTGTGAAAATGCTCTACAATCCATGATCAAATTACATTTAACTTAAAAATATCTATAGAATACTTACTTTTTCCAATGCATGCATACTAAACACTGGCCCATCATGTGCTTTAACTGTTTTCACAAGAAAGACGTCTCTCCAGATACACACGTCTCCTGTGGATGTTCCAGAAAAAGCCATCTCTTCCGTCCATCCATACACTGCACACATCATCGTGTCATTTTTCCCCAGTGTGCCTACATAGCCTTTTCTTCCAATCAGTCCTCCTCCTGGTTCATGAAAAATATCACAGAAGTACCATTTTTAAAATGTATAAAATTCTAAAGTGATAAAATTTCTTTCCTACTGTAATTGTTTAAATGTGTAATAGTATGGAGACTTTAAAAGAAAAATAAAGGTCTCTCAATCAGCGACTTGCCTGGCTAAGACAGCCATATCCATGGCAGCTTTTAGGCCACAGCTCTTTGGATAAAAACATGTACACTAAGTCAGCTTTGATCAATTCTCAGCACTTCTGATTGTTCTTCAAAATTTTTATTATGACATACTTAAGAAAACAGGAAGATATAAAAAATAATATAAGAACGTACACAAAATTACTAAAACCAAAGCATGATGCCAATCCCATCTCCCTTCTTCACCCTCTACTATTGTGAATGGGCTATTGACTACCTTCATGCATTCTTTAATAATTTTACTACTTATTTGTAAATTTTTAGGCAATAAGTCATATTTTTCATGTTTTAAGATTTTCTATAAATACCATTTTATGTACAGTTGACCCTGGACACCACTGGTTTGAACTGCACAGAAGTCCACTTTTACACATTATTCAATAGACACAGTACTCTAAATGTATTTTCTCTTCTTTGTAATTTTCTATTTAATATTTTCTTTGCTATATTTTACCTTATTGTAAGATTACACTATATAATACATATAGCTTACAAAATGTGTGTTAACTGACTACGTCATTGGAAAGGCTTCGGGTCAACAGCAGGCTATTAGAAGTATTTGGGGAGTCAAAAGTTATATGCAAATTTTTGGGGCCCCCAGGTGACTCAGTCGATTAATCTGCCTTCAGCTCAGGTCATGATCCCAGGGTACTAGGATTGAGCTCCGCGTCAGGCTCCCTGCTCAGCAGGGAGTTGGCTTCTCCCTCTACCTCTGCCCCTTCCCCTGCTTGTGCATGCTCTCTCACTCTCTCTCAAATAAAAATATTTTTAAAAATGTTATATGTGGATTTTTTACTATGCCAGGGGTCAGCATCCAAACTCCTTGTGTCATTCAAGGGTCAACTGTATTCCTTTGCAAATTGCTTTTATCACTAATAATCCACTATGGAATTTTATATACATTGATTTGTACCTCTAGAATATGCATTTTCATAACTATATAAACATTCCATTATATGAACCTAGCTGTCTGTTCATTTTCCTATTAATGGGCACTTAAGTTGCTTCCAAGCATTTGCTACTGAAAACAATGCTGATTTAAATATTCCTGTAAAGGTCTCTTCTATACAAATGCAAGAGATTCTCTAGGATTGCCTAGGAATGACCACAGGGTATGTGCAAAAAGGAAAGCATATAGATGAGAAGTATCATCTGTTCCAAACTGTTCTAGAAAGTTGATACACCAACTTACACTTCCATTAATAGTGAAAGGAGATCTTCTTTCCCACCTTTCAGGAACATTTGGTATTGTCAGACTGGGGGATATGAAATACCAACTGAATTTTTTTAAAAGACTTTATTTATTTATTTGACACAGAGAGAGAGACAGTGAGAGAGGCAACACAAGCAGGGGGAGTAGGAGAGGGAGAAGCAGGCTTCCCGCCAAGCAGGGATCCCAATGTAGGGCTCGATCCCAGGATCATGACCCAAGCCAAAGGCAGACCCTTAACAACTGAGCCACCCAGGTGCCCCCAGCTGAATTTTATTGTTGTTTTAATGTGCCTTTCTTTGATTATTAATGAGCTTTGTCATATTTTCCTATTTTTATTGGCCATTCATTACCTATTGATATCTTTTGCCCATTTTTTTCCCAATTGAACTCATTCATTTATTATTTATTCTATATATATATATGCGCATGCCAGGCACTATTCAAGGCACTGTGGTAGAGCTACAAAAAAAACAGACAATAAAACTCCCTGCTCTGTTCCCTGTTTGAGGCAGCGGGATCAGCAAGGGCCCCCAATACAGTAACGTGAAAGAAACTTCAAAGAACATTTTCGGAGGTCAGCATGGTATAGCAAAAATAATAAGGGTGGAAGTAATGGGAGATGAAGCCACAGAGGTCAAAGGCAGCTACAGGCCATCTTAAGAATTTAACTTTTTAGTCTGCATGTGATGGGAAGTGGTTAGTGGAATAAAATCTGGCATATCATATATTAATAGGTTCATTCTGATTTCTGGTTTGAGAATAAATCAGAGAATGGCAAGGAAGAAAGGAGTTAGATGGCTATTTCAGTCATCGGGGCAAATGATAACGGTGGCACAGACCAGAGTGGTAACATGGAAGATGATGAAAAGTGGTCATATTCCACATGTATGCAGAAGACGGTCTTTTTTTTTTTTTTTTTAAGATTTTATTTATTTACTTTAGAGAGCAACAGAGCATGATCAGGGGAAGGGGCAAAGAGAGGGGGGAAAAATGTCAAGCAGACCCTGAGTACAGAGCCTGACATAAGGCTTGATTGATCTCATGACCCTGAGATCATGACCCAAGATGAAATCAAGAGTCAGATGCTTAACTGACTGAGCCACCCAGACACTCCTGTCTTTTCTTAATGTAGCAGCCAGAGTAGTTCATGAACTTGTTAGGTTAACTAAGTAGAGTGGTAAGGGGGGAAAAAAACCCTAACAGGTTTAGACTTCTCTCAAAAGGAGAAGATACATTGTAAAATGAACATGTAAACAACAGTCTAAAGGTATTATAGTAGGTATATAAGAAACTGATTAACAGCTTGAGGGTAGAATTGAAGGGGGGGTTTCATTTGGTTTTATTTAAGATGGAGAAATAACCCCATACCTGTATGTGGAGTGGAAAAAATAAAGAGGGAAAAGCGATGATGTAGGGGAGGAAGGGAAGAAGAATGGGACTGATGCTCTTGAGTAGATGAGAAAAGAAAGGATCTAGTACACAAGTGAAGGGACTGGCTTTCACTAGAGCATAGTCTATCTGGAGCAGGAGAGACAACCTACAGGCTGTGGGCCAAGTCCTGCCACCACCTGTTTTTGTACAGAGCGTACAGGTTAACACTGTAAGCTACAGAAGCCATGCCTGTTTCCTTTTCTACTCCTAGAGCCTGCCTTCCTGGCAAAAGGCTGCCAACTAGCAGCTGCCCGGGGTCTAAGCTGGTTGCGATCTACAAGTTGAGGACTTTGCAAATGGCAACTGCTAAGCACCTAGCAGTGAAATTATTATCCAGGAGTTAGTTGCCTTAACTTTGGCTAGCTGCCCAAAGTGAGAAGGGAGAACAACACAGTAGGACCTATGTGTCACAGGGGCATGACTATGGTTCCTCCACCCAATCTACAAGTCCCTTTCACTGCAACAAGTTGATCTTAGATACAATGTCTCCAGTTCATGGCAACTAGGCAGAAAGCAGGGTAGGAGTTTTCTCTCCTATTCCATAAGTATTTACATAAATTTTTTTTTTATTATGTCCCTTGGGCCTGGGGAGTCTAAAATATTTGCTGTCTCGGGGCACCTGGGTGGCTCAGTGGGTTAAAGCCTCTGCCTTCGGCTCAGGTCATGATCCCAGGGTCCTGGGATTGAGCCCCACATACGGCTGTCTGCTCCGCAGGGAGCCTGCTTCCTCTTCTCTCTCTCTCTGCCTGCCTCTCTGCCTACTTGTGATCTCTGTCTGTGAAATAAATAAGTAAAATCTTAAAAATAAAATAAAATATTTGCTGTCTCACCATTTACAGAAAGAGTTTGCCACTGCCGATTTAAATTATCAACTGGGTTTTCTGATAGACATAGCATAACATATGCCTACTGTACCAGGTCACATCATCACTGCACTCAAAAACTTTCAGTGGCTGCCTGCCCATACCAACCATGGAATAGAGTTCAAATTTCTTAGAGGTCAGCTTAATAATTTATGAGTTGGAATTCTCAAAGCCTAGTTCTGAGACAGGAGGTAAGACGCTCCCTTCTAGCCTTAGGCCTAAGCCACCTTTACCTAATTTACATAAAGTTATGCATTTATCTGAGCACTTACTCAGATTAATAAAGTGGTTACTTATTTTCTCACTTGTCTAGTGAACTCTGTGGATCAGAACCCCAAAAGTGAGGAAGGTTGAAAGGCACATCAAAGTTTTAACATTTATCCTTATGGTTCAGTTTTAGGTCTACTATATGACTAATCAAACTTAAGGGAAAAAGTCATTCAATTGCAAATCTCTTCATTTTTTTTAAACATTTTATTTATTTATTTGAGAGAGAGACAGTGAGAGAGAGCATGAACAAGGAGAAGGTCAGAGGGAGAAGCAGACTCCCTGTGGAGCTGGGAGCCCTATGTCAGACTCGATCCCGGGACTCCAGGATCATGACCTGAGCTGAAGGCAGTCGCTTAACCAACTGAGCCACCCAGGCGCCCTTTTTAAAAAAAAAAAAAAAAAAAAAAATTATTTATTTATTTGAGAGAGAAATCTCTTCATTCTAAAACTATTTACTTTCTTTGTCTCTTATTTCAAAGAAATTTATAGGATTTTGTTTTGTTTTTCAAGACAAATAATAAGCATTACTTGCTTGGTATTTGCAATTCTAAATAAATAAGGTATTCTAAAATTTTATTAAATATATGGGAATAAAAATGTGAAAATACTTTACTTTGTAAATGTATATACACTATGATCTGATGAGTTTGTGATAAAGTATTAAATCCAAGCGTGAATTTGAAAGTAACCTCACCTTGAGAAATCTCTTTACTAAAACTTTTTCTTATTTATGTTTTACCTCTTCTATATTTGTGTATTTAATCTGCAAGTTTTACGTATGCTGGCACTTTGATATCAAACTGGTGGAATTTATAAGTGTACTACTACTTTATTCAGAAAAGAGATATTTTTTATTTTAAAATATGAACTTCTTCCACAGCACCTAACTTACAGTTACAATGGACTAAAGTTATACAACCTTCGTTTTCTGTATTATTTTATAGCGTATAAAGAATTTTTGTATTTTTCATTTTCAGTCTGTACTAAAAAATGTGTCTTTAACAGAAGAAGAAAGGAGTCTGAACATCACTTGATTAATCTCATAAGTTAAACACTTTTTAAAAAATTCTATTTGTTTGAGAGAGAGAGAGATATCTTGAGCTTGGAGGTGGGGGGGGTGTGCACAGAAGGGGGAGAGAGAAGCAGACTCCCTGCTGAGCAGGAAGCCTAACAAAGGGCTCAGTCTCAGGACTCCAAGATCATGACGTAAGTTGAAGGCAGCCACTTAACTGACCAAGCCACCCAAGCTAACCCAAGTTAAACCCTTTTGAAAATATGAATACTACATTAATGTAGTCAAAAATAATGTCACTATTGTAGACAATAAAATCAATCGTACATTTGTTTAAAATATATCAAGACAGTTATGAATCACTTGAAAAAAAACAAATATTTTGGATAATTTTAGATTTTCATAAAAGATGAAAAGGTAACAGAGTATTCTTGTATACTCCTTGCCCAAATCCCCCTAATGTTAACATCCTACATTACTGCAGACTAAGAAACCAACAAAGTGTTTGATGCATTTCTATTAACTGAATTCATTTCACCTGTTTTCCACTAACATCTTCTTTCTGTTCCCAGGATCCAATCTAGGATACTGCACTGCACTTAGCTAAATCACTTTTGAAAGTAATAATTTCTTTCAAAGGAGTAAAAAAGAAGCACTTCCTTACCTGCTCTACGCCAAAATTTCACGTGTTTAATTCCAGCTGTAATTAATTTATCAGGCACGTAGGGGTTCATCTTTACAACAAAAATCTTATCTTTACTTCCTCTGAAAAAAATACCAAAATGTTTTAACTCTAAAGATAAATCTCTCCTATAATAATCTTTTGCCTAATCCATACCCTATTGTGATTACTTCACTACTGAATCCTTTGCCTACACATCTCTCAGGTTTGGGCTACATTATCATGCATTTGTACATTTGTTATTTTGTCGTAATTTCAATTTAATTCTTCTCAACATAATCTTCAAACATAGGAACAGTGAGAACTGAACCTACTGTAGTACTGTGACTAGGGAATTGTGGCATGAATCAGTTAAAGAAAAAATTTTTATAATATTTTGTTACAGCTTAATATAGCCATTCCAAACACAAAATTCCTTTCAAACTATCTTTTATTTGCCATTGTTTATGTACATTAAGGAATAGGACGTTAAAAAATAATCTGACACTTGATTACTTCCTCCTTTAAAGCAATTGTTAATATTTTTTATTATAAAAATAATACATGCTCATCTTAGAAAATTTAGAAGATAGAAAATGTGAGAGAAAATATACATAATCTATAGCTTCTTTGTGATATATAGGTATATGTGTCATCTGTCACTCAAATATATGATTCGAGCATTTCCAATGGCCACATTGTAGATTTCCATATAGTAGAATTCACTGTATAGAATTCTTTCCCCATAAATGAAGAGTTTAGATAAAATCTACTTCCAATGTATTATTACAGTAAAGGCAGGTTCACAAGGGATAAACCTACCAATGAATTCTCAAATCATTTGTCTTTTTACCAGGATTATACTACTTATTCAGTGGTAATAAAGAGGACAGCAATTTTTTAAAAAGGTTATATATTTGTTTGATTTCAATACTGTTTTAATAGAAAAAGTTTTTAAGTAATTTCATTATTTTGCCAATGTGATATCAAGATTTTCCCCCACCTTGTTATTGAAAGTTTCTCTCCTTTCTTCCAGTCCCACAGCACAATAGTGTGACTATCATCTATTCCAACTGAAGCCAAACGTTTCCCATCAGCTATAAAAATTAATCAGAGAGAGAGAGAGACTGACCATTAACATTCAGAAGATAAAAACCATTCAGTACATATCCTAAAACCTACAGTACCATTTAAAATTTCATAAAATGATGTTAAATGTTGGCATGCACACATATAGCTATAAAAAGAACCAAAATTTGTAAACAGGGGAAGAACAATTTCTCAATGCATCTAAACATTGTTGACGTTGTCTTTGACTTCATTTTCCTTATTTCCCCACCAGATTAGAATGGGGGAAGGAGGAAGGTAAGTGGAAAAAGATTTTAAAATGAGAAGGAAAGGAAAATAAAGAAAAGACTTACTTCAATTAAACTTACTCTAAGAACTCTATTTTGATATAGGACTCAGTGATTATGAAAAGTTAATTGAATGGAAAAAGATGTAGGTTACAACCCTGTTTTGTCATTAACAGGACTGTTTTCAGTGAAGGTCAACTATATTATTTGTTACTATTACCAAACAAGTAATGAAGTGTTGGACAAATGATTGAACTAAGTAAGTCATGCTGACAGCTGTGCACACGTTTACAAGTTGCAAAGGCCCAAACTAGATATACACTGGCCACTCTGGCACTTTTTGCAAACCTCAATTATTTCATTATCATTACTAGTGATATTTTTCTTACTGAATCCTTCAGTTTGCCATTAATCTTATTTCTTGACTTTCAGAAGATCCTTAAATGCATATTTATGCTTCCTCCCAATAACTCTCATTTGAGTAAGAGCTGCAGAAAGTACAAATTTACTGTTTCCTAAAATGAAATCCTCTATCAATGGCATTTCTCCCCTCTTCCCAATCCACAGCCTAGCTTTCATTGTAGATCTATGTGTATTTGTTAAACTTTTTTAAAAAAAAAGATTTCATTGAGAGATAACGAGAGAGAGAGTGCAAGAGTAGGGGGAGAAGGAGAAGCAGACTCCCCACTGAGAGTGGAGCCTGACGTGGGGCTAGATCCCAGGACCCTGAGATTACAACCTGAGCTGAAGTCAGATGCTTAAGCAACTGAGCTGCCCAGGAGTGCCTAAACTTTTAAATATACAGGAAAGAGCTAAAATCGCTTGAAATTATTTTTATAAGATAGCTTGGATTTGTTACTTCATAGAAAAGTTACAAAACAAGTATTTCAGAGTTAACCTCTTTCCTTCTTAGCTTTTACCCTAAATATTTTCATTTACCCTGTGACTGTAAAATATTACGTGACATTGGAGTTTGCCTAAAGTGGGAGTTACATAACCACTAATGGGTAATTCAGATGGTTTTAGATGTTATATGGACATTTAAAAATAGAAACATATTTATATTAATGGGTATTAAAAATAATACTCATTAAATTATCAGCCAGTCAGCACACCTACACTCTTAGCCCTGACTGGTTAGGACAATAGCATGCACATTTGAAAAAAACTGTGAAGGTCATAGCTAGGTGACAAGTTTAGGTAACACTAATTTAGACTATAATGCTATGTATCACCTCTGCATTTTGATTATTCTTACTGAGACAGAAAACATCCTTACCTGAGAAATCAACAGCACAGATACCATATTGGTGACAGCCCTTTAATACTGACAATGGTTTAATGGTCTCTGTATCCCATATGTGAATTGAGGGATCTCTACCTACCTATAATAGAAAGAATTATAAAACTCTTATAATTATTTATTTTCACATCTATTAAAAGGAAATAAAACAGATTTTACAGACTTTGTCTTGTTATAAGCATTTATCAAATAAAAAATATAAGGCAGATCATACATGTGACTGACATTTCTTTCATATATATATTTAATTTAAAAATTTATATGTATTTTAAAGATTATTTACTCATTTATTTGACACCGAGAGAGAAAAAGAAAGCACGCACACACACAAACAGAGGGAGAGAGAGAAGCAGGCTCTCTGCTGAGCAGGGAGCCCAATGTGGGGCTATCCCAGGACCCTGGGATCATGACCTGATCCAAAAGCAGACGCTTTAACCATTTAACTGACTGAGCCATCCAGGCACCCTTTCTTATACTTTTTGAAATGCTAATGAGACTAGGCTCAGTGTTTCTAGAAATGTGCTACATGACTCACAAATCTGGTCCTATGCATCACAGTAAGGATAACGCTTACTGAGTGCCTATAGTTGGCTGTGTTCCCATGCTGGATACAATGAGCATAAGACATTCAGGAAAATTTTGCAAACTCATTAGGAAAACAAGATATTTTCAATTAAATTAGAATATCTGATAACATAGGCTTAATGAAGCTTAATGAAGTTGAAAAGGTTATAAAGAATTAGAAGAGTGGAGCCTGGGTGGCTCAGTGGGTTAAAGCCTCTGCCTTCATGGTCCCAGGGTCCTGGGATCGAGCCCCGCATCGGGCTCTCTGCTTGGTGGGGAGATTGCTCCTCCTCTCCCTCTACCTGCCTCTCTGCCTACTTGTGATCTCTGTCAAATAAATAAATAAAATCTTTAAAAAGAAAACCAAACTTAGAAGAGATGATGTTTGACCCAGACCTTCAGAAGGGCAGTCTCAGATAAAAAGAGAAGCAAGTACATTCTAGGCCAGGATAATAGTATTAACAGAGATACAAGGGGTTAAAGTACCGAAAGGTAAAGAAGACTATGAACAGACGCTATCACTTATGTTTTAACTTAGGTTATATGTTCACTAATCCACAGGTAAACTATAATTAGTAATTATTCCTTTAGACTCAAGTAATAACTGTCTTTAAGTATGAGGATAAATAGAATAGCTTTGCCTGTAAAGACAACTCCCAAAATAATGAATATAGCTTACAATTATTAATTTTGACACTGATTTTATATAAAGACATAATAAATAACAAGCCTGCCATCAGCCAATATTTCATTAGGTTTTGCAGCCCAAATGTTCCCCATGACTGTTAAATTTGCTACTGAATTTCTGCAGAGCGTGGTAGTTTTGAGAACTTTGCAGTACCATCGTCTCCTGGTTCTCTATCTCCTGAACTCTTACTACTGAGTTTCCTTTGCAATTTCATCACCTCTCCCTTAAATAAAAAGCTCCCCAAGATTCTGTCTTTAAAACTCCAATCTTTCACTCCATATTTTTGCCGTGGGGTATCTCAATTCCAGTTTCAGTGGTTAAATCAACAAATGACTCCCAAATTCTTTTAACCACTAAATTCTTCTTCTGAATTTAAGACTTACATTTTCAATTGCCTACTGGACATCTCACATGGAAACAATGACAGTGATAACAATGAAGGTTAACATTTATGGAGAACTGACTTATGTCCCAGGAACTTTTCCAAACATTTATAAGGACTGACTCACTTAACGATCAAAGCAGATCAAAGAGATAGGCACCGACAGTATCCCTATTTTTTTTTTTTTAAGATTTTATCTGAGAGAGAGTGAGAGAACGAGCACAGAAGGAGAGGGAGAAGCAGACACCCCGATGAACAGAGAGCCCAAACCGGGCTTGATCCCAGGACCCTAGAATCATAACCTGAACCAATGGCAGACCCTTAACTGACTGAGCCACCCAGGTGCCCCAGTATCCTTATTTTGAAATAGGCATATAGAGGCTAGATAATTTCCCCACAGCTAATATGTGGGGAAGCTTGGATAACACCATGTTCAGTGCTGGCAAAAGTAGTAACAGAATGAGTGTTATCAGAGCCTACTTGGGGCTTGTCAGTCAGGGATCAGGAAGAAGAGAGAGGTTAGTTAAGTTTTCAGATATGTTACTTAACCTAAGTCTTAAAATGAGTAGAAATTAGACAAAGTTGGACAGTTGAACAGAATTGGAGGCCAAGAATTTTCCAGAGGAGGGAAATAAGTAAAAGATGTGAAGCAGTCCTACACATGGACAAATTCTAAATAGCTCAAAAGGCAGGAGCATTGTTTACGAGGAGGTAACTGGTAAGAGATAAGAAGAGGAGCCTATTGGCCTAGGTTAAATGGCTTGAGCTGTATGCTAATGAGCTTACACATTAGCTTAAAAGCTAGTAATAAACACAGAAGAAAAGAAAGATTATTAGTGGGTTGGGGAAATGGTTAGGGGAGAAGTATGAAGATGGAAGACTAGTTGGTTGGTTATAACAAAAGATTAGCAATCATGAAGCCCAGAAGTGCCAGCAAGGACAAGGTAAGATATAAATACAAAACAACGAAGCAAGATACATTCGTCGTAGAGAACTTAACTATACTGAGGGCAAATCTTGGCTGTAACTCTGGGACTGACTGGTTATAAGGTGTGAGGGGAACAAGTCAAACTCTTGGGCTTAGGCGACCAGGTTAATACATACTGTGTCACGTTCTAAGTAGGAAACACAAGGATAAGCAGGCTTGAAAGGAAAGCTTAACCTCATTTATCTCCATTCTAGACATGCTTAATCTGAGTTACCCGTAAGATACCTGAATGAGTGTGTTTTTAGTAAATTTTTAGTTAAGTGTGTGTGTGTGTGTATGTGTGTGTATATATATATATATATATATATATATATATATATATACATACATACAGTAATTCATCCAATTCATACTAAATTGTGAACTCCTGACAGTGGCAGCCAATCTGAATCATGCTTCCCCACACATTTAGTGTTTTTTTTATTTTAATTCCATTAATTAACATATAATGATTTATTGGTTTCAGAGGTATAGGTTTGTGATTCATCAGTCTTATATAACACCCAGTGCTCATTATATCCCATGTCCCCCTCCTTAATGTCCATCACCCAGTTACTCCAACCTTCCACCGCATCTCCTCCAGCAACACTCAGTTTATTCCCAATGACTAAGAGTCTCTAATGGTTTGTCTCCCTCTCTGGTTTCCTCATCTTATTTTTTTCTCTTCCCCTGATCCTCTGTTTTGCATCCCAAAGTTTATGGCAGCAATATCCCCGGTAGCCAAAATATGGGAAAAGCCCAGATGTCCACTGACAAAGGAATGGATAAAGAAGTTGTGGTATATTATATATATAATTTTTTCAACTTTATTGAGATATAATTGGCATATAACATTGCATAAATTTAAGGTGTACAACCCATTGATTATATAAATTCTCCTTTTACTGGAGACAGACTCGGCCCAGAGATAGCATAAGAGGAATCTACAAAGAAACCTTACTCTAGGAATTTTGTCATATACTTACCTTCCCACAGTGTTTCGCCCTTGGAAGCCTAAAACTGCTTTCCTTTGTTCTGTCATTTCTCCACCAGTCTACTGTGTCCTATATATGCTGAAATTCTAAGTCACCATTTTCAGTCACTTGGGTGTAGATTTCTCCAATGTGGTATGCACTATACCTGTTAATATACTTTTTGTTTTTCTTTGTATATTTGGTTTTTATTAAAGAGCCCCAGCTGGGGCGCCTGGGTGGCTCAGTGGGTTAAAGCCTCTGCCTTCGGCTCAGGTTATGATCCCAGGGTCCTGGGATCGAGCCCCGCATCGGGCTCTCTGCTCAGCAGGGAGCCTGCTTCCTCCTCTCTCTCTGCCTGCCTCTCTGCCTACTTGTGATCTCTGTCAAATAAATAAATAAACAAAATCTTTATTTAAAAAAAAAAGAGCCCCAGCTGAAAACCTAGGAGGTCTAGGGGTAAAGTTTTGCCTCCTCCGCAGTAGGTATCCAAGGATGTCCTGTGGTCATATTGACTTTTAATTTAATCTGGCCTGAATTCTCTCCAATCCCAGACTCATGGTAGCAAATGTCGAGTTTTTCTACAGCCTTCCTTAGAGTAGTACCAGAATAATGTTCTAGGGCGCCTGGGTGGCTCAGTGGGTTAAGCCTCTGCCTTCAGCTCGGGTCATGGTCTCAGAGTCCTGGGATCGAGCCCCGCATCGGGCTCTCTGCTCAGCAGGGAGCCTGCTTCCCTTCCTCTCTCTCTCTGCCTGCCTCTCGGCCTACTTGTGATCTCTGTCTGTCAAATAAATAAATAAAATCTTAAAAAAAAAAAAAAAAAGAAAAAAGAATGTTCTAACTTCTTGCCAAACACAATGGGTAAATAATTGTGCTTTAAGAGGAAACTTTTCTATAAACTACAGATAAGGCTAAATGGTGCCCCTGAGGCCCTCACCAACCCTTCTAATTAGTTCTTCTTCATCCCTCTAAGATTTGAATACTTTAGGCTACTCACAGTTCTTTAAATAAGCTGTGTTTAGTGGGATTTTTGCCCCACGTTTACAAATAACACACTTAGAACACCTTCTCCTACCTCCCCTGTCAAGTAAAGTACTCAGCTCAAATGGCCTCAACTCCATGAGGGTTTCCCTGATCTATGTGGCACAATTAATCAGTCCTTCGTTACAATGCAAAAGGAATTTATGCATATCTCTACATTAGTGGTTCTCAGCAGGGAGCGATCTTTGCCTCCCAGGCAACATTTGACACCAAAGACATTTTTGGTTGTCACACTGAGAGGATGGTATTACTGACATACTGCGAGTAGACTCCAGGGATGCTGCTAAACATACCATAATATATAGGATTGCATTGTACACAACAATGTAATTATCTTCACAACAAAGAATTATCTGGCCCAACAGACTCCTGGGTAGCTCAGTTGGTTAAGCAGCTGCTCAGGTCATGATCCCCAGGTCCGGGCATTGAGACCCTACTTGGGCTTGCTCAGTGGGGAGACTGCTTCTCCCTCTGCCTGCTTCCCCTGCTTGTTCTCTCTGACCAGTAAATAAGTAAATAAAACCTGAAAACAATAACAACAACAACAACAACAAAATTATCTGGCCCAAGACGTTGGTAGTGCTAAGGTTAAGAAGCCCTGCTCCAGGGGTGCTTGGGTGGCTCAGTGGGTTGAGCCTCTGCCTTCGGCTCAGGTCATGGTCTCGGGGTGCTGGGATGGAGCCCCGCGTTGGGCTCCTTGCTTGGTGGGGAGCCTGCTTCTCCCTCTCCCTCTGTCTGCTTACTTGTAATCTCTATCTCTCTGTCAAATAAACAAAATCTCTATTAAAAAAAAAAAAGAAGAAGAAGAAGAAGCCCTGCTTCATACCTATAACCTTGTATCATGATTTTCCTTGCATGTATGTCTTCTCCTTCAGAAGACGAAAGCTTACCATGGCAAGAACATGTCTTATTTATCTTTGTATTCCCAGCACATTTTCTGGTACACAGCATGTGCCCTATGAATGTTTTTCAAGAAATGGAAGAAAGAAGAAAAAGGAGGGAGACAAGGAAAAAGAGCAAGAGGGAGGCACAAACAGAGGGAGGGAAGATAGAAAAAGGGAAGAGTTTTCTCTCCTTTCAGGAAAGAGTAATGCAAGTTGCCCAGCTCCGCCTCAATATATCCTAGAAGGTATATTTACAGTGTTTAAAAAGCCAGACAGACTAATGCAGCTTTAAACTTTATCATTTATTAGCTGAAAGATCTTTGAGAAAATAATTTCTTCAAACCTAAATCTCCTCATTTGTAAACGGAAATGGTTCACTCATAAGGGTGAGGTGAGAGTAAAATAGAGTTGTAAAATACAGGTGACCTTTAAACAACGTGGGGGTTAGGGGTTCCAATCCCTGCACAGTCAAAAATCCATGTTTAACTTTTGACTCTCAAAACACTTAATGATTTTTTAAAAAGATTTTATTTATTTATTTGAGAGAGAGAGAACAAGCAGTGGGGAAGAGCAGAGGGAGAAGCAGACTCCCTGCTGAGCAAGGAGCAAGACAAGGGGCTCAATCCCAGGATCCTGTGATCATGACCTGAGCCAAAGGTAGACACTTAATTGACTGAGCCACCCAGGCACCCCTCAAAACACTTAACTTGTTGACCAGAAACTTTACTGATAACATAGTCAGTAAACATGCATTTTCTAAGTTACATGTATTGTGTACTGTATTATTATGATAAAGTAAACTAGAGAAAAGAAAATGTTAAGAAAATCATAAGGAGAACAAATTTAAAGCACTGTAAAAAAATCTACATGTAAGTGGAGCCATGGAGTTCAAACTTGTGTTGCTCAATTGTCAATCATATATACTAAGAAACTAGTAACGTGCTTACATATAGAAAGAATATTTATAAATACCACCTTTTCCTCCTTCTCTAAGAATATCCATATAGAGAAATAGCAGTTAAGACTTTTCTCGGTGTTTTCTATTTCAACATTTGTGCTTTGTACTTTGGTAAACCTGAATGGGTAAATGTCATGGTTGTAAGATAAAAACAGTCATCCTGTGTATCACAGCACATTTGTTAGGTAATTTTATTCTAGAAAACTCAAAGAAAGAAATCAGAGTTCTAGTCTTTGTTTTCTATGTTTACTCACAAGTTAAAAAAATGTATCCTGACAGAAAGAAGACAAGCCAGAGCCCTTAGTGCCAAATAAAAAGAATAATCATCAAAACAAAAAAACTCAAAGGAAAACTGTCGGAAAAAAGTTGGAATAAATTTTATTTGTAATGTGAAAAGAAAATCCCATTCTAAAGAATTCACCATTCTTCATCTCCTAGAAAACAAAAGATAGATGTGTTAAAGAAGTGGACTAACCCACACGTAAGTCCAAACAAAGGTCTCACCCACCTGCCCCGTTGCCACATAGTCTTTCAAAGGGTGAAGAGCCAGGCAGAGAATATCATCATCATGGCCCAGGTAAAAGCGCTGTGTGTTCTGCTGCCGATTGTAAATGACGCCCACTGCGGCTACATGGTATACGATTTCACCAATCTGAGTATAAAACAGATTGCTTCGACAGTCATAACCTCTGTAACTGAAAATAGAAAACAGATCATATAAAACTAACCGTAGCGTTTGATCTGGTAAATATGGGTTATGCAGAGTAGCAGGTACGTTTTAGGTCATTCTATTTCCAGTTTTACAAGATACTGAAAAACTAAAATTCCATACACTTTCATGAATTGCTCTGATTACAAATAGCTAAATCCAAGCTATAATACTGAATGAATAAAGGTACAGAAAAGTATATATAGTATACTACTATTTACATAAGTGTATTACTAAATTCGTATACTAGGAAACAAAAATTGGTGCTTTTTTATAAATGGAAGGGTATAGAACTGCCCTGCGAGGGTGAAAAGGATGCCTGAGAGGGCAGAGCTAGGAAGACTTTCTTTCCCTTCTTTTTTTGAAGATCTAATTGGTTTTATTAAAAGATTCATGAATCAGGCAATCTCCCATCTAGCAAGGAGAGGGGGGCTTCCTGGGAGAAGGATTTTCAAAGTGAATGCTTTTATATGCATTGTTGAACTATGAGAATATATATTCCAAAAATGTCCAATTTTAAAATATTATATATATCCAAAAAAAAGCCAAATCTTTTAAAAATGTTCAATATAATTCCATTCGTAGCAAGTAAACTTTCTTTACACTTCAAAGAAATTCAAAGTACAATATGTAACTGCCGGGAAATATTGCCTACTTTAACAATGGAAATAAAATATTCTTACTAAATGAATTCTTTCTTAAATTCCTGAAAACATTATCAGTCATGTAAGAAAATGATTACTAGGTAGAAGGGACAGGAAGGGTTGAATCGGAGAATCTGTTGTTCAAGGATGAAATGTGAAACTTATATTTCTAAGAAAATCCAGAAACCATATTTTACTAAAATTAAAAAACAAAGGCCAAATGCAGGCCCCCAAAAAGGGCACAATATAATTCCAAATCATAATTAGTTAGGGGAGATGATAATCCATTACATTTTACTTATTTTCATTTGTTTTAAGAGATCCATGTCTATAAATATTAATACTAAACTTTCATAAGATAAATCTATTATTAACACTCATATAGTGATTATGCACGGGACAATATTCTAAGTCCCCACAAACATTGGCTTATTTATTCCTCATCAGAACCCTATGAAGTAGGTACTGTTACCTTCATTTCACAGATGGGGAAAGAGGCACAGAGGATTTGCTCAAAGTCATACAGCTATTAAATGTGAACCAAAATACAAACACATAAATGAAAAATAGTTGTTTCATACCCATGAACAAAGTGTAATCGGATACTATTTCCTGGCGCCCGCTCTCTTCTTTTAGAAGTACCACTTTTTTGTTTCTCCTTGTACTGTTCTTTAAGCTGAGGTAGATCTTCTTTGTAAACCTTTAAATAATGTACAGAAGTAAAACGTCTCTTAGAATATAAATTAATAAAGGTGTTTACAGATTCCTATTGTAACTTTCAGACACTGTGGTTACTACTGACCACTAAAGTTTTAACACTTGTCTTAAACAGAAATGTATTTTATGATATTTCCTTCCTTGGAAATAATAAATTTACATTTTCTATGTATCACACTGACAAATATGTATTTAGTGTTCCATGAAATTCATACACTTCAGAAGAGAATATTTTAAAGAGAATAAATGGGAGTGTACTGTGACAAAAAGCCATAGGCAAATAGAATACAGGCATATTTGATATATCAAGCCCTTATTATAAAAGGACATTTTATACAAGTGCACTTTAACTCTTAAAGGAGGAAAACTGAAAAAGACCAACATTTCTTGGAAAATTAAAAACCATGAAAGATAACAATAAGTCAATAAACAACAGGGAGAAAGATAAAGAAACTAGACTTTTTCAGAAAAAAATTATGTGATGATATTAAGTACCTGCCGACGGTAGGTAAGCTGGGTCTCTTGTTCAATTTCAGAATCCAGCTCTGGAACATCAGACAGATCTGAATCTGATTCATCACTATTAGAGTCAGCCAGACTTTCTGCAATTTTTAAAAATGAAACATTACTTGTTTGAAGAACATTCATTTTCAAAACAGCACTGTAAAATTATTAAGAGCTGACTGTGACAACTGACATGGTGACAAGCCATAAAACAATCAAATGAAATTATCTCTTCAAGTGACACAGCTGTCAGTAAACTGTACCACAGATTACCTTCCTCTCCACTCACTGCAAATTCAACAGCTACTTTAAGTCTCATCACTGGCACCCAGTGACTGCTATATCAAACTTAAAAGCTGGTACAAACATAAGTAACTAAACCTTATAGGTTTATAATTATATAAATACATATTTATATAATGTATATGTATATAAATATATGTATATAAATATATATTTATAAGCCTTATAGGTTTATAATTAACATAAAAATATCTAGAAAATACTATATGCAACAAATGAGTTGACATTAGATAAATTTTCTTTGTCCAAAAAACCATATAGGACACCTAGATACCTATCTCCCCAAGAATACATTAAATGTTTGTTTTGAGAATGTAATGGTTTCTTCACTCATTGTTGGGCGGATTTCAATGCATGCAAAAGTACTTTGTATTCCATGCTCTGATATTTGACTCTAAACACATATGCCTAGTATTTTAAAATTTCCACTAACAAAACACTGTATTGTCACTTAAAAGGATAGATTACACTTTAATAGTAAAAGTGTTACTTTGCAGTTACTGAAATTTTTTGACAAAGAAATTCCTTAGGCAGAGTGTACTACTCACCTTGGGGTGCTATGTGAAGAGCATCTTTTAGTTTTCTTTCAGGAATAAATTTCCACTGAAAGACAGAGTGATCTGCTCCACCAATAGAAATAACCCACTGATAGTCATGTGACCATCTGACATTAGTTACGTGAGCCGAATGGCCAATGTATTTTTTAAACTTGGCCCCTATAACAAAAATATACCTTTAAATTGATAAGTAAATGCCAACACATGAAAATACCACTTCAAACAACAATTTCTGTATCTGAACCAATACAACCTTCCTCCATTATCTTAATTATGATCAAAGGGTAAAAATACTCATTCGAAAGTTTGTTGAATGAACAAATGAATGAGTCTACATCAAGGGATGTAAATATTTGCTCTACTGATTTATAATATAATTTGGTAGGAACCACTACGATTGTGAGGCATTTTCTTACTGCTCTGAGAAAAGCCTGCAGCCATAAAGGCATCAACGGTTTCCATATAATGAAATTTGAATGTTTTGGCCTGAGGCCTTAGGTCTTAAGTGAAATTGACCCAGTCTACTCCATCCCCAGTAGGGCTAGCACTAGCCACCAGAGGATCCTTTTAAAACTTAAGCCATCAACAGGGGTGCCTGGGTGGCTCGGTGGGTTAAAGCCTCTGCATTCAGCTCAGGTCATGATCCCAGGACCCTGGGATTGAGCCCCACATCGGGCTCTCTGCTCAGCGGGGAGCCTCCTTCCTCCTCTCTCTCTGCCTGCTTGTGATCTCTGTCAAATAAATAAATAAAGTCTTAAAAAACAAACAAGCCATCAACAACAAAATACTTTCAAACCTAACACAGCAACATGTAGAGGAATACACAACAGGACCAAATGGGATTTATGCCAGGAATGCTGGTTGGTTCAACAGTCAAAAATCAATGTAATACACCACATTCACCAAAATAAAATACGCCCAGCTGTCCCAGAAAGTGTCCCTTATAGTAATACTTTAAATTTGTATGTTTTGTGTAATGTTCTTCAATATAAGTTTGTCTAATGTTTCTTCATGATTAGATTCAGATCCTGTGTTTTTTGGCACATGTGCTATTGTAGCCTTTTGGATACATCATTTCAAGGGGCACAGTTCTATCATTAGTGATGTGAGGTTGTATAATTTGGTTAAGGTGGTATACACCAAATTTCTCTAACTGTAAAGGAAATATCTAACTTTGTGGTTAATTAAAAAAAAAAATCTGTGTGATGACAAGAGCCAATACTGTGGTTTTAAGTTCAGAAAACATTCTCTGCATCTTGCTAGGATAAACCTGGTATTTGGCAACATATACACACTTCTATTGGAGTATACTGGATACAATAATGTTTGGCTTCATTTTGAGAATGTTTTAAAATTTTTAAATTACAGAAGCCCTGTCAGGATGGCAAAGCTCCATCAGTTAAAATCTGGAGATAAGCTTTCATGCTGGCCATGAATTTAGGGATCGCCATCTTAAGCAAAGCAGAAAAGATTTGACCGAAACTTACCTAAATTACAATTTGGTGCTTAACAGCAATGTTGTTATTTTAAGAACCATTTTTTTATGCAGCTGAAAAGAAGTAACTTTCTAGAAGGGTAACTTGCCACAGTTCACCTAGGAAAGTCTAATAAGGTAGATTTAGTCTCATTCGTCTATATGAGAGTGCATTATTTGCCCATCAAGAGGACTATAGCTATTACTTTCCTTGATGGGGTCTTTTAAGTACTTTTAGCCACCAGAGAGTCTTAAAAGATAAAGCCAGAGATTCCAGGAAATCAAATTCCAAGTTTTAAAGATGTATTAATATTGTCATGTCTAGGTACATGAAGAGTTATATGAGCCAGTATTCAAATTAACTATATGGGGCAATAACCGCAAGAGAGGTGTAAATAATCCTGTAAATCCCTTCCAGATTATATTCTGTGGCTTTTCAAAGATCAATCCCCTCTAAGAAAGAACCAAGGCAACTTAACAAAAAAGTTGTAGAATAAGTCTAAGGGAAACAAATGATTTCTAATTAAAAGGACTATATTAATAATTACCCAATAGCCAGAATTGCTTATTTAACATGATAAACAGATATGAAAAGTGAACCTAAATGTCACATCTTTCATCAAGTGACTCTGACACATCAAGACTACGTGTATTGTCCTACATGTTTCCAGAATTCCCTGTGATTACCCTGTGTGAGTATATTTATGACACTGAAAAGTAACAGTCTATTTACTTATTATTTCTTGTAATAAACTATAAGCTCCATAGGACAGGTTGGCATCTTTTTACTCTGTATCTCTAGTGCGTGGTATATAGGAAACATAGGAAACATTCATTAAATACCTGAAGAGAAAGAAAGAAAAAGAAAAACAAAGATTACATTTCTCCTTACTATGTTACAATTGAGTTGGAATACTAGATTGTAGAGGAGGGAAGAAGAGTAGTGAAGGAAATGAGAGGGCATGAACATGACTCCAACCCTTTTAATTATAAAAGAGACAAAAGTATGATGTGTAAAGAATATTAGAGTTGAAATATGAAAACTCTGGCCTATGACAGGAAATGATGAAAGGACAGTTAAGATCTAAAGAGTGTATCATTAATTAGAACTAGTATTTCAGAGAGATTTGTCACAGCAAATTAGAATGGTCATAGAAACTCTTAAAGAAGGGGATGATAATTTTTGGTGAGGGTAAAGCAATGTACTAAAGTACTTGTTTTGATTATCTCATTTTCTAATTTGTTTTAAAGTATATTTTAACACATAATTAATATGAGCTAAATCTCTTCAAAAACTTGTAGCAATATGACAGATTTTTTTCCCATTTGTAACTATGTTTTAATGACCTTAATCCTTTTTTTTAAGATTTAAAAAAATTTTTTTTTATCACTTCTTGGTCTTTTGGCTAAGATCAAGTGTAGATTTATTTATTTATTTGACACAGAGAGAGCGATCACAAGTAGGCAGAGAGCAGGCAGAGAAGAGAGGGGGAAGCAGGCTCCCTGCTGAGCAGAGGCCTGATGCGGGGCTTGATCCCAGGACCCTAGGATCATGACCTGAGCTGAAGACAGAGCCTTAACCCAATGAGCCACCCAGGTGCCCAGATTTTATTTTTAAGTAATCTCTATACTTAATGTGGGGCTCGAACTTGCAACCCAAGATCCAGTCACATGCTCCTGGGATTCAGCTAGCCAGCCACTCTGAACTTAATACTTCTTTATAAAACATATGAGACTATCTTTCTGACCCTAATATAATAATATTTTAATACACAAAACTTAACTATTCATTAAAAAAAGATAAATGATAGATTTGACTACACTGAAATTAACAACTGGTCAAGAAAAGACAATAATTATAGTAAGTCATTATAATATTATAATAAGCCATAAACTGGAGAAAGGCATTTGTAAACTATAAAAATTACAAATAATTTATATCTAGAATATATGAAAAATCTTCAACAAATAAAACAACTCTACAGAAAAATAGGCATTTTTGACAGAAGAGGAAATGCAGAAAACCAAAAAATAAATGGAAAAGATGATCAATCTCATTAGTTAGACAAATGTGACATCACTTATACTAATTAGATGTACACAAGTTAAAAAGTGTGGCAGTGCCAAGTACTGAAAAGGATGTGAATCAACAGGGTTTTTAAAAGGGTATAACTACTTTGGGAAACAATTCAACATTTTCTCACAAATTCTCTATGACCCAGCAATTCACTCCTAAGTATACATCTTTAAAAAATTTGCATCTAATAGCAAAAATCTGGAAATGACCCAAATGTCCATCACAGGAGAATAAATGCATGAGTTATACCATATATTCACAACACATCAGGAAGAATACACTAGAACTACATGCAACAATATGGACGAATCTTAGAAAACAAATCCTGAGTAAATCTCCAACACAAATATGTTTTTTATTTGATGTTTTTTTTTTCAGTGAATTTTCTTTTCAAATCTAAAGAAAGATTTTTATCAAATATAAATTTTCATTTGTCAACAAGTGGAGAGAAAGTGTTGACAGCTAGTATGAGTGATGGAGATATTAGCTTACAACAACCCTGCCTTCACCTCTCCATCCTCCACCAAAGCCTATGTGCTGCTGCCTGGGAAGAGTCCGATTATTTGACAGAAATTACTGTTGAGAGCAAAATAACTTAGATAGAAAGAGGATAATAATGGGGGAAAAAGGAGAAGTAATGCTTTGGGCTAGGATTCAAGGGGGCTAAATATGGAAGAGGATCATTCTCATTCAGGTAATCTCATACATTTTGTGTCTGAATAACAATGATTCTACAATATAAGCTACTTCTATTATTTAACTTCCACATTTTGTAAGTGCTGCACTTCTTAGAATGCAATGGATATTACTTAAGTATCTAATGTGAATTACTACAGTAAACACACTCTTTTCCCAAACTCCAGTTGGATCAATAATACAACTTAATGTGTGAAAGAATGTACATCATAACTAATGTAAAAGGTAATTTTTCTAGAAATACTGCTAATTTTATGCAAGTATGTGAATTCAATAAACACGGAATCTTTAAATATTTCTACTAATTCTTTAAAGATGCAGTAGTTCTATCTTCTGTTCTCCCAGTTACTTACACATAGTCTCAAGCTAACTCACAAATGCCTAGAAATAAAAACCCTTACCATAAATAAATTTCTCACAATTATCTAACAAAAAGAAAAATAAGGAAAACAAATTATATTCTTGAAGCAGCGACTGAACAAGACTTATTTTTCTGAGACTTCAGTAAAATATTCCAATTCAGATTATTATACATTTTAAAAATGAAATTACTGTGCAACAAAAATACTGTCAATAAACTACAGAACATAAAAACTATCAATAAAATCCCATTCATTTGATTAAGAATGCTTGGAAAATTATTTTTGTTTCTGCATAGAGCCAGTATATGAAACACTGAGTAGAAGCAATGTCTAAGATTAAGATCATCATGATTAACCTTACTGAATCTCACACACTTTAACTAAGCAAATCTCATTCTGAGTCATAATAAAATCTGTTGCGCCTAATGACTCTCATGTTCTGGCTATGGGATGGGATCCATAAAGAGGGTATTTTAATTATTAGAGACTTAACTAGCCTTTATTAACACACTTAACATTACTTATGGATATAATTTCACATATACCTAGGAAGCTGACACCCTGCAAGCAGGAATCAACCACATGGTATTAGCTGGCAGTATCTGGAATTTACCATTTTATTATAAAGGTACAACAGAAATGCTAGCATAGACTTCTGGGAATATTGGGCCCTTAAGTTTAACATCAATGAACTACCTATTTAAATACAACTATTCCAGGGGTGCCTGGGTGGCTCAATGGGTTAAAGCCTCTGCCTTCAGCTCAGGTCATGATCCCAGGATCCTGGGATAGAGCCCCCCAAGCAGATAGGCTCTCTGCTTGGCGGGGAGCCTGCTCCCCACCCCCAGCAACTATCTCTCTGCCTACTTGTGATCTCTGTCTGTCAAATAAATAAATAAAATCTTAAAAACAAATACAACTATTCCAGATATTCCCATAATCACCTTTTACTGAAATGCATTTTTAACATTCATCCAAAAGTAAAAAATCATTACTACACTTGCTACACACGTTAATGCTCTAGGAATACACTCACTGCTCCTAATCTAAAGCTCCATACTACAGGAGAGAATTCTTTGAAAACTGAATCTCAGGAAAAAATTGCTTTCCCTGAATAGGAAAAAAAAAATGCTTTAAAAAAGAAAAGAAAAAGAAAAAGGCTATGATGGGGGCGTGCCTGGCCTGCTCAGTTAAGCATGCAACTCATGATCTCCGGGTCGTGAGTTCAAGCCCCATTGGTAGGAAAAGTTTACCAAAAAATAAATAAATAAATAATAAAAATGTGTGTCAACTACCCTCAACAAACTAAAAAAAAAATTAAAAAGTAGTTTAAAAAAGTAGCTATAATGAAAATTACTTTGTGCCCTTTTAATTTTTAGTTTCTAGAAAACTAATTTCCTGACACTAATTTTCTATTCATGTAATTATTTTAGTACTTGTGGACTTGTTATAAGTGAACTCAAATACTTTATGGAACAAAGCATGGGATAAATAAATAACTAATACAGCATTTCATTTAATTATTCCTAAGTCTATGAACAGAATGATTAATATCATTTAAGAAGACATCCAAGAAAAAAAGGTGATACATAAAATGTGCAGAAAATAACCAGTAAGACCCTTATTTTTCTTAATCTGTTATACAAAATATACAAATTTCAAAACAATATATGTTAAGGATCTAAGCAAAAAACACACCTGTATATGAAAACCAACCAACGAACCAACAGGTTCCAAACTGTGACCTGAACTTGTATTTTGAAAGAAAAGATACCTTTTCTCAAACAAGGATATCGGAATAATTTTATAATTCCATAATCATCAGCTGTAACTAAAACTTGGCCAATATAATTTCCATCTACTGAATTTATGTCATTGATATCTGAATACTTGGGCCAAATTCCATTTACTTCAAGGCCTGAAACACATGTCCATGAAGCCCAATGAACACCTTTTATTTCTTCTTTGTTTGTCACTTCTTTTCCTCCTAAAAAGAAATCAGAGTCTTAATTAAGAAGTTATTTAATTTTTTCTCAAATAAACTGATAAATTATAAATATCTGATAAATTACTGATAACATGATAAACTCCAAAATTTAAATATCTTTCTAGGATAGTTAAAGGAGAGTATTAGGAATAGGCAGGGGAATATGGTAAGGAAAGAAGAAAGTTAAATGCAAGGAATTTAAAAAAAAGCTACTACCAAAATTATACAGAGACACACACCGACTGGATTCTGATATAGCGCAGCAGGTTTACTCATCTGGAGAATAAACATCCCTATCAAATTCATGCTAGATTAGTCACAATAGGGTAAGTTAGAACAAGTAAAAGCTATATAAAAGTGGCAAATCAGCTATTAAATAAGAAACCTAAGAAGATCTATAGTTGAGAAAAGAAAACTGAAAAGGAGAAAGAAGGAAGGATGAGCAAGGAGTAATACATTCAAGAACAGGAATTTAGGATTCAGTCACTTTTCATTACAGATTATTAATGAAAAACTGTTGGGGAGATATATTAATTTAATTATGTACCTAGTCTTATTAAATAAGTTGCTGTAAAACAGTGACTAATTCATTAAGTATCATACTAAATGAAGTACTGAGAGACAGTATTTTGATGGTTGCTTTTATTCTTTAAAAAAAATCTTTGATGGAAACTGCTTTCCAAATTTAGTTTGTTAGCTGTATTATGGATATTTGCAAAATTTATTTGAGGTAACCATGAAAAACCCCAATTTGTATCAGAGATTTTTAGCAATTATATTTATTTATTTATTTATTTTTAAAGATTTTTTTATTTATTTATTTGTCAGGGACAGAGGGAGAGAGAGGGAGTGAGCACAGGCAGACAGAGAGGCAGGCAGAGGCAGAGGGAGAAGCAGGTACCCTGCTGAGCAAGGAGCCCGATGTGGGACTCCATCCCAGGACGCTGGAATCATGACCTGAGCCGAAGGCAGCCGCTTAACCAACTGAGCCACCCAGGCGTCCCTAGCAATTATATTTAATTAGTTCCACCCATAAAAATGGCATTTTGACTTTCTAATATACACTAGGGCTTTACCAAATACTACTCACATAGCATGGAATTCGACATAAAGTAGATCTGTCTTAGATCCTCCAAGCAAAGTTTTAATTACCAAGGACTAAAATATAAAGGATTTCAATATAATAGGGCAGCCTTATACAAAAGAGCACAATGCCTGAAATATTAGCTCAGATCTTCTTTAATTTCCTATAATCAAATTCCTATAATCTGCTTCTACTCAAATTCTAAAATTAATAGGCAATAAAAAATCTACAAATTATATACAATTTATTAGAAACTTTTACCTGGCATTCTATAAAAAAGTCTTTTCCCATTTCCATCATTTGTCTGTAAATATCTACTGTCTGAGGACCAGTCCAGATGAGTGATGAAACTAAGTGATCCAACACATTCCCCCAATTTTTTATAACGTTGCGCAACACCATAGATATCAACTGAGCTGTCATTACACCCAACAGCAAGGTAAGTTCCATCTGGTGAGTATTTTAACTCATGAATTGCCTCCTTCCTATCTTTAATATGTACAACTTCGGTCATATCTCTGTAAAGCAAAAATAATGTTAACACATGAAATCAAGTCATTACAGAATTAGTTCAGTTTCAAATGTGCCTAAAATGGCTGGGAGGCTACAAGTATTTATAAATCACAAAGTAAATATACATGAGACAAATATTAATTCAGGAAAAATTACTTTTTCGACAGAAATATATGAGGACAACATATGCTGAAAGTAAGGGAAAATGCTGAATTTCGGTTAATTACTTTAATGTAGTTTAAAGATTCATTCTAAATTTCCAGAGTCATACAATAAAGGAGATATAGTAAATAGATTTTTATGACAAAGCTCCTTTAACTGAGTTTATGAAATATGTTTAATTATAAACACCATGATCTTCAAATAAATTTTTGTAATGGGACAAATGTACAAAATTATATTCAAGAGATAAAGAAAAAAGGAATTGATTTATTAAGTAACACGTTTGAATGTTTATATAGCCACACTATTTTTATTTCAACCTCTTTGACCTTTTTTAATACAAATTCTTCCCAGAGATTATGTCAACCAGTAAAGTTAAACACTTTTTTCACTGATGTCTTATAACTGCATTTCCAAAATAATGCAGGTATTCATAAAAGTCATACAAATGGATAAGCAATTTAATACCACTGAATTTCCAAAGTTGTCGGGAGTTGGTGGGGAAGAGAAGAGGGAGGCAGTGAAGGAGAAGGGGCAGGAGGAAGTAAGAATTCCTATTTCCACTTAGTGCCAAGAATTTTTTCCATTTAAATTTTGCATTACCCACCTGAAATGTTCGATGTAGGTAATTTTTTTTAGAAGTTTAAATGGATATATCTCAATTTTTAAGGTTTCTAAGTGGACAATTTAAAGCAATCAAACTCAATTTTTTTTTCCAGTAACACCTACTAACAACTGTGTTTTAGTTACATGGGATACAAAGATGAGCTCATCTTCTGTGAGATGGATAGAAAGTAGTATTGTACTTTAAAATTGATAAAATGTTGTGAGTGCTCAAAAGGTATGTGGGAAATTCTATAAGAGATACTGAAAAAGGATTTAGACCAGACTAAAAGCAAGAGGGGACCAAGGAAGAATGACATCTATATTTTGAACATAAAACCTGAGGGTTTGGCTAAAACTTTTGGAAAGGTTTTCCAGGAAGAAGACACAGCATGGACATGTGCACGTTTAAGGCACATTTGGAGAATGGTAGATGTTGCAATGTGGATATAAGACTAAGTGGGAAAAGTAGTGACTTGATGGGGTTGAAGAGAGAAACTATAGACAATGTGTGACAGATGTGACATGTTGCCAAGGAATTTGGGTTTTACCCTGGTGTTAAAGTAAGAGATGAAAATCAGCCACTTAACTAAATAGAAGGGGATAAAAACAAGATAAATGAAGAAAAACCTTTTTCAAAAAAAAGTTTTCCTAGTCAATACCACTGTTGCCTCAAGCCCTGCGACTCACAAGGTTCTCCACCTAAGCCCAGACTTGTGTAGCTACTTCTACCTTTCCCAGTGACCCCCCTCTTCACATTTTAATAAAGTCCACACATCTGATTTCCCTTTCTCCATATTTATCCATCCACCTATCCATCCATATCTACAAAGAACAAGATTTTTAAGAAAACTTCTAAGGCACTATTTGATAGCTTTTACTTTTTATGCTTTCTTTACTGAAGATTTTATCATTCTAATCTTGTTCACAAACGTTAAACTAAATGTTCCCTAAAAATTCTTCAGAACTATTTTTTTATATATAGCCTTTTTGCTAGACATTTAATTGCTCCCAAGTAATGAGAGAAATAAGTGTGGTTTAAGTCCTTGTTCACCAACACACACACACAGGTACGCATGCACATGTGAACATATACCACAATTCTGATGGGCTCTTTTGTAGTATGTATTATGTTACTACATCAACATTACGAGTTGTGACTACCCTCTCTCATGAGGAAGTCTGAAAAGCTTATAGGAAAGAAGATTATTTGATGAAAGTATATTAATTTTTTAAAATTCTCAAGTCTTCTGGAAAACTGCTATGTGAATTCTATGGTTTTTTTAGGAAAGAGAGGGAGGCAGGCCAAAGCCTGGGAATATTCATATATTAGCAATTTGTAACACATCACAGAAGTGAAAGCACAGTGTTGATTACAGCATAAAACAGGAAGACAGTTCCTAGCTGGGAGAGTTAGGGGAGACAGATCAAAAGAAGGAGAATTTAAACTTCATTCTAAGGACTTAATGAGATTTAGTTTAGGAGAGGCCAGGAACTGGGAGGTGAAGGGACCACCTTCCAGCAGAGATGTACGTGAAAGAGCTGGTAGCAACACAAGTACTGAAGCTCTGCCTGTTGTCAACGAAGTGTAGCTGTACTGACAAGCAAAGACGCTAGAATGTGAGATGAGTCTGATGAGAGAAGCTGAGGGAAAATCATAAAAGGCCTCACAAATCTTAAGATTTTTGGCCTTAATCTGTGAGTTTATGTTAGGGTAGGATGAATCAATTAGGTCACTTGTGTGATTTGACAGTAATAGACTGAAGTAGCGTAACAGTAGGATTAAGACTAATTAGAAGGCTCCGGACACCTGGGTGGCTCAGTGGGTTAAAATCTCTGCCTTCAGCTCAGGTCATGATCTCAGGGTCCTGAGATCGAGCCCCGCATCAAGCTCTCTGCTCAGCGGGGAGCCTGCTTCCCCCTCTCTCTCTGCCTGCCTCTCTGCCTACTTGTGATCTCTGTCAAATAAATAAATAAAATCTAAAAAAAAAAAAAAACTAATTAGAAGGCTATTACAGATGGTGGGTATTCAGACTTCAGAAAAAAGTGAAATGATTTAAAATATAGAGTATATTATAATCTATACTATTATACTATAAAATATATAGTCTATGTTGAAGATATTATAATTCTAATCTTACATCAATTAAAGTGTTTTGAAAATCAGGCAAATAATATCAACAGAATGTGATGGATTGGACATGGTGGGTTAGAGAGAGAGGTAACAACCATAATTCCTAGGTTTCTGGTTGGTACAAGAACCTGGACAATTGTGCCACCCAAAAGAATGGGGCCCACAGACAGAAGATCAGCCCAGGAGGGAGGATCATAAGTACAGTTTTGGAAATGCTGAATTGCAGATGCCTTTGAGACATCCAAGTGATGTTAAACAACTGGATATACACAACTGGAGTTCAGTGGAGAGATCAGGGCTAGAACTATGAATCTGGGACCATCATGTTATGAGTGGTAACTGAAGCTGAAGGCAGGATGAGATTACCTAGGGAGAAAACCGAACAGACAGCTCAGGTCTGAGCTTTGAGGTCCTCCCATACTTACTGGTAGGCAGAAGATAAATTAGCCTATAAAGAAAATGGAAGCAGGAGAAGCAGGCTGAAAAGCAAAAGAGAAAAATATCCAAAGCCTGGGAAGAGAATGCTCTGAGTAGGAGCAAGTGGTTCAGGGGGTTAAATAGTGCTGAAAATCAAGCTAGACAAAACGTGGAAAATGCTGCCTGGCTTTGGTGACGGTACTATTACCAAGAATTTTTCAATGTAAAGATGAAGGCAAAAGCTATACTGCCCTGTGGGTATTAAGTCAATAATTGGAAGAAAACAGTAAATTACATAGTTTTTTGGGAATTTCACTGTGAAAGAGTAGAAATGTGATATAATTAGAGGGGGTTTAGGTTTGAGGTAAGCATTTAAGACAGGATATACTTGAGCATGTCTTTTAATTTATTTATTTTATTTAATATTTATTTGAGAGAGAGCATGTATCCAAATGAGTGTGGGGGGGAGGTGGGAAGAGGGAGAGAGAGAATCTCAAGCCAACTCTCCACTGAGTGCAGAGCCCAACAAGGGGCTTGATCCCAGAACCCCAAGATCATGACCTGAGCCAAAATCAAGAGTCGGATGTTCAACTGACAGAGCCACCCAGGCGCCCTACTTAAGCACGTTTTGATAGTGCTCCTTCAGGGGAGGGCTACAGAGAGACAAAAGTTTTGATGTGGAAAAATAATGGAGATATACAAAGTTACTTTTTAAAGCCAGGAAACAACTTTTGGGACTTAATTATTCCCAAGAAATGGAACAGACAAAATATAAGTGGGTAGAAAAAAGTTTTTAAATGAAATGCGTGATTACTTAGGGAAAAAGTCTCCTAATCCTTTTGTAGTTGATATAATGTGGTAGTGACACTGTCAGAAAGAGACAAATGGCTAGGTGCTAACAGAATATAAAATGAAAATGCTTTTATAACTAAAGTCTATCTCATACTCTTCAGGAAACCTTATTCTATCCTCAGGAAATTTGTTAATTGGGCTTATCAAGTTCTTCCACTTAAGTCTTCCTACCTACTCATGAGAAAGAATGAGTGACTCTGAGGAGTTTGGGGTGGATAACACCATGCCACCCACTACAAGTCAAATTTTATATATATGAATCTTTTAATTTGAAAAATATTTGCATTTTTTCATTTGACTCCATGATAGGTTTAACATAAAACTGGTAACATTTTTTATCAAAAGGAAGAGAGATGTTCTAGAAGTTATGTGACTCTGTGCTGGCACATCATCTTGTATCCCAAATTGAGAATCAGTGTGTTAGATCTGAATTTATTCTATGTTCCTCCAATCATAACATAACTACTCCTGTGAGGGTCCTTTAATACTGCTATACTTATGAAGTCTGCTTCATTATATGCTGAATATGTACAGCAAACCAAGAAGAAACAGTGACCAGGTAAATCTAGGATTAAGACTATTTTTGAGGTAAACTTATGTGGTTAAACTACAAAGGTATTTAATAGCTATAATCACCATTCCAATGGTCCTGTCAGCAATGTTGGACTCAGTTGCTGAAATAATGACTTATTAGAGATAAGAACTTATTCGCCCAGTTACTTGCACACAATATTTGAAAGGGCAAATAAATGTACAATTAACAAAAATAATTACTATTTTTAATGCATAGGAGCTATATGAGAGGAACTCTTAGGTGTTTTACAAGCATCTTAAATTCTTGTTGCACAACAATGTAAATGTACTTAATGCCACCGAATTTTTTAAGAAGATTTTATTTATTTATTTGACAGAGAGATCACAAGTAGGCAGAGAGGCAGGCAGAGAGGGAGAGGGGAGCAGGCTCCCCGCTGAGCAGAAAGCCTCAATCCCAGGACCCTGAGATCACAACCTTAGCCAAAGGCAGAGGCTTTAACCCACGGAGCCACCCAGGTGCCCCAATGCCACTGAATTTTGAAAGATGGTTAAAACGATAAATTTTGTATTACATATATACTATTACAATTAAAAAATTAGTGCAAAAGAAAAACATCAGCTTATCTCATTATAAAAACCTGTCCCAGAAAGAAAGTCAGCAACTAGAGAAACTCAGAGGTGGAAGAGAACATGATGTATCTGAAGAAGCAAAAGATGTTTTACACAGTTGAGAGGAAAAGAGTGAGGCAGAAAGAAACAGGTGGGGAGATGGGCACTACTGGCTACGTTAAGGATTATGAAATTCAAACTAGGGAGAGTGTCAAGCTTTTACCATATTTTAGAAAGAGGAGGGATGCAAACAAATTTGTTTTAAAAGGCATCACTATTAACTGTAGAGTAAAAAAAAGTCTTGAGGGATGCAAAACAGGAGCTAAGGAGACCAACTGAGACACAATCCACCAATCCAGTTAGGAAATGGTAGAAGTCTATACAAGAGTACAATGGTGAAAATGAGAGGAAGCAGATTAATTTAAAAGCTACCTGGGAAGTAGATCATCCAGAACTCTGTGATTAACTAGATAAGGGAATTAATGGTTTCTGGATTGGGCAACTGAAAAGGTCCTACCATTCCCTAAGCTAGAGAAGAAGAATTTCATAAATACATATGCTTGTGAACACACATGGATTTACATCAAAATTTGCTTTTGTTTTTAAGAAAGAGGGCGTGATAGTTGGGGTGGGGGAGTCAAGGGAGAGAGAGACGCTTAAGCAGGCTCTATGCCCAATAGGGCATCTGATCTAACAACGCTGAGGTCATGACCTGAGCGAAATCAAGAGTCAGGTGCATAACTAACTGAGCCACTCAGGCGTCCCCACAGCAAAGTTTTTAATAGCTATATAGAATTCAATAGAATGCACTGTACCTATAATTCAACATGAGATGAGAACTGCTTTAACAGATTTGTTTAACTCTTCTAATTATGCAAACAGACGAGAAAAGATGGAGGCTTTTTCTTTTTTTTTTTTTTCAAAGAATAAAGCTACAAATAACAAAAAACCTTTCACCCATTTTTAACGGCCTCAAGGTCACCACCACCCCCTTCCACCAATGGCAGAGGATCATTACTAAAAGTCAATACTACCAAGGAATGGAGGTCAACACCCAAATTCATAGCTCAAAATTTTAGCCATTAATCCACTAAGCATTCTTAAGCCCCAAAGCCAAGGTTTTTGAGTTAACAATTTTCCGACAAAGTCATTTTTTATATATTTAGTATTTAATAAAACTAATATTTGAAATATATATATGTGTGTGTGTATATATGTTAAGATGAAAGGAGAGTGAAAATGAAATAGGTAAAAACAATGAGTATTGCAAATTATCACTTAACAGAAATTTACTGTTTCTACCCCAATACCATACCTTACTCTAAGTACAGTGAATGAGCCATCCTTCATTCCAAGGGCAAGATGGATTCCATCCACATTTACAGCTGCACAACGAATTGGTTCTTCCATATTACACCTTGCTATTAGTGCATGATCTACTAGGCTCCATATCCTGTAACATTTAATTAAAATAAAAGAATTAACTAATGTATGCTTAAAAATTATGAACTCTATGAAAAGATTTTTGTTAAAATAATCATCTAAGAAAGTAATATAAACATATTTTAACTATATATTTTCTGGCCAGGAATTCTAATCTATGAGAAAGGAATACTTTTCATACTTTGAAAGATAAGAGTTTATAAAATCTATTTTTTTTAAGATTTATTTATTCGAGAGAGAGAAAAAGAGTGTGAGTGGGGAGAGGAACAGAGAGATAGAATTCCAAGCAGACTCCCAGCTGAGTGGGAAGCCCAAGATGGGGCTTGATTCCATGATCATGAGATCATGACCTGAGCCAAAACCAAGAGTCGGACACCTAACTGATTGAGCCACCCAGTTACCCCTAGAATCTTTTATTTTTAAAACGATGTAATGGCATCAGTTTTTTCCAATCATTTATTTTAGGTGGATGATTTCTACCCTGATCAAAGGGGATATACATATACACACACACTATATGTAGTGTGTGTGTGTATGTATATGGTGGTATATGGTATATACTATATATTTATATACAGAGTCTTTTAATTTAAAAGTAACACTTAAGACTATGCAAATTCAGTTTGTTCCACACTCTAATGTTAGAAATCTGTAACAGAAAGTAGAAAATGACGATTGAAAATTAAGAATTATACTTTTAAATAACCCAAAGGACAAAGAAAAAAATTTAATGAAAATTAATATTTTGAAGTCATAATAAAAAATGTCGTATCAAAACTTGTGGAATTCAGGGCACCAGGGTGGCTCAGTGAGTTCAAGCCTCTGCCTTTGGCTCAGGTCATGATCCCAGGGTCCTGGGAATGAGAGAGTAATGAGAGAGTAAAGCACTGTATTTCTTATGCAATGACAGTATAGTTGCCCTAAGAAATACAGATATAGATGAACATTACTAGACTAAGCACTCCTTGCAACATCTCTTACAGGAAAGCAATGATCAGAAAAGTTAGAATTTAAAAATTAAAATGAGATGTCAACAAAAGTAAGTTTTTAAGTGGCATGTTAGCTAAACAAGGAAATCTACTTACTGGTAATGGATTAACTCTATCATTTTAAATTGCAGTGGCTAAAAAATGTGTGCAGAGAAAATAAATTTAAGATTATTGCCTTTAAAGTAAGAACAGTTTCTCAAAAAGCTGAGGGTTTGGGGAAAACCACCAACAGTTAATTAAACAAGATAAATAATGTTGAGTGGTTTCCTTGGATTGTAAGGAGTCAACAGATGTTACCAGTATTACTCAGTTGTTTATTCAAGGAGTTCATGCCAAGTTTGAAGTGATGAAGAATTAGCTTCTATGACTAGTTGGTGTGGAATAACTATAGCCTAGAACGTTTCCAAAGACATAAGTTAGAAAGAACTAAACCAATACAGTGTAGGGTGGAATTAGATGGTGTTGAAAAACATGGATAGAAAAAAATGGCCTAGGCAAATTTACAAAAACTGTAAAAATGTAAGGTGTTTAAAAAGCCTATGATTATTCATTGTATTATTCTTCAGCAAGTATTTTAAAGAAAAACAAAACAAAACACAAAACTGAATGTTTACGAACCAATAATGTTAATGATGAACTTCATTTGATTTGGGGGATATAACCATTGTTAGTTCTGAAGTTGTGTCAGGAATAGAAGTTCAAAAACCTGACTTGCTGTACCACACAGCAGTTAATGACTTACAAGTGGTAAAATTTTATTGTGCTTTGCTGATCTCAAAGTCAAGAATGAAATTCTTCTGAACCATAACTGCCCTTAACAACTAGTAGCTTTGGAACTTAGCTTTCATGCATGTTTAATATTGTGTCTTAATGAATTCAATCTAAAACTATTAGGCAAAAGCAGCACTTACATGTAAAACTTACACTGTGGTAGTTATCTGGACAAGAACTAATGCTGTTCTTTTTTTTTTCTTTTTTTTAATTTATCCATTTGACACACAGAGAAAGAGCGCATAAGCAGGGGGAGCAGCATGCAAAGGGAGAGGGAGAAGCAGCCTGAGGCAGGACTTGATCCCAGGATCCTGGGATCATGGCCCGGGCCCAAGACAGACCCAGGTGCCCCAGAACTAATGCTGTTTAAATAACATAATCAAGCAGTTTTACACTACTCTTCCTGTGCTACTAAAACTTGAAATAAGATATCTATTCCCACACAAATTTGCAGGGTATTATTTTTTTCAGAGCCCAATGTTCTAGTACAGTGTGCTGACCTACTCTCCGTGGATGGGCCCTGGATCTTGACATCTGCCCCCTTGCCCTAGAAGAAAGCCACAAACAAAACCCAAGTTTACTCAAAGGAAGAAAAATGCCCCCAGGGCAAAGTGGCATTGGCCCACTGGTGCTCCTAAATTCCCATTTTCTTTCACAATTTGGCTAGTAGATCATTAATATCTTGACTGCTCTTTGAAGATTTTACATTTTAACCAGCATTTTTAGTTGTTTTTAATGTGAGTTCCTTCCAAATTACTTGCCCACCAAAAGCAGAAATAGAAGTCTGATGAATTACTTTTTAAAAGATCAGTTGCCTTTTTTTCAACAGCTATGCAGCAACTGGTAATAGTTCTCCTAAAACGAACTATAAGATAGTTCCTAGCAAAGCACATGGGTTAAGTGTGGCCCCACACTAAATTTCCAGGTGGACACAGAACTATAGCATCTCCCATCCCCATAAAACTGAGTAGCACAATGACAGAACAGAACACAGCATGACTGATTAACATATCATTTAAAAAATCAGTGTTATCTGGAAAGAATTAGGTTGTATCCCACCTCATTTCTTGAAGTAAATTAAAAAAAAAAAAAGCCATTAGAATACAGAAGCGTATATTAAAAACTTTTTTTTTAACTTTGCAGAAGATGATTGATAGAAAGCTCAGAAGTCATAAAAGAAAATATTAAGTTCATAAAACAAAATAACAGCAAAAAAGTTTTGTGTGGCAAAAAGCAATGAAAGAAAGAAAAAAAAAGAAAGAAATTGGTGAAAATTATTTGCAACTTACATCAGAAAGAGTTAATATCCATAACACAAAAAACCTGCTAAAAACAAAGGAGGAAATAATCTATAACCCTACAAATAACGGCAAGAAATGTGAATAGATCATACAAAGCATTCCAGGGAGCCAACTATGTTTTAAACTAGCAAATGGCAAAGAAACACTTTCCTGTTTTCCTGTACAAACTTCACCCAGGATAAGCAAATGGTTGATGAAGAGAAATTCTTTTTTAGGAATATGACAGCTAACAAATGAATATGAGTGAAATTAAAATACCACTATATGAAACTCTTAATAAAAGATCTAGGTCACGGGCTCTTGACAGGAGCAATACTGCCCCAAAGGGGGCTAAAAATTAGTTCTCAGAAATGAAAATTAGTTCTCAGGAATGAAAAATTTAAATATTATAATGGTTTGTAACTCTCTCTTGGGCCATAGTACAAAAACAAATATGTACTTTTTTTGTGGTGAGCTGTATCATTCACTTGAAATTTCACGTGAAGGGGATGTGATTTGGGAAAAAATTATCTAAAAATTCTCATTAGAAAAGCAATAATAATAAAAAAAGTTAAGAAACACTCATCTAGATAATAACCATCAATAGCTGCTAATATGATTTAAAAAAGAGATTACATGTTAGATACCATCAAACAGAGATACACATTACCATCAGGAAATATTCTTGGTGAAAATTCATAACTGCATCTCATCAAATCTCTAGATCTACTTATCAGTTTATATAACACAATGAAGAGAGAATGTATTAAAATACATGGAGGTGCAACTAGCCAAATCCAGAATGTGGGGAACTCTGGAGGACGAATACTTAGTTTCAACAACAAAATTATAAAAAAAATAGGGGGGTAAGGAGGAAGGAAGCTACAGAATACAAGATTTAAAGGACACATCAACAACTGCTGTATATGCACATTCTTTGGAGCGTAACTCAAAGAAGCCAAAGGAATGCTGTGTGAAAACAGTACTGTGGTGATATTTAAAGTTACCTTTTACACAAAACATTTACAGATGAAATGGTGAAAAAAAAAATGACAAAGTGTACAAAATATCTAAACACCTATAACTGACCAGCAGTTCTTAAAAGTTAGTGTACATCACCTCCACTTGGAAGACTTATCAAACCATGAATTGATGAATTTCTGATACTTGGTCCTGGATAACACATGAGAATTTGCATTTCTTACAAGGAATATTGATGCTGCTGGTCCAGGAACCACACTGAGAACTACTGTCATAGACAATGTGCTAATTTCTATAAAATGTAGACAAATGTTAGATCATATTTTAAAGTAATTAGAGAAAGAACAAGGAACTAACAGAAAACAGCAAAAGAGCTTCACCAGACAGATCAGAGAAAAGGAAATACAAATGTCCTCTAACCATATGTAAACATACTCAACACACCTCAACAGGAGAGAAAAGCACGTTTTCACAGTATCACAGGAAATCACTTTTTTTTAATATTTTATTTATTTATTTGACAGAGATAGATCACAAGTAGGCAGAGAGGCAGGCAGAGAGAGAGAGGGAGAAGCAGGCTCCCTGCTGAGCAGAGAGCCTGATGCGGGGCTCGATCCCAGGACCCTGAGATCATGACCCGAGCCGAAGGCAGAGGCTTAACCCTCTGAGCCACCCAGGTGCCCCAGGAAATAACTTTTTAATAGATTTTATTTATTAGACAGAGAGAGATTGGTATGTGAATGAAGTTTGTAGTAATCATTTTGCTTTGTATATGTACGTCAGAACATTATGGTATAGACCACATTATATTGTACACTTTAAACATATATAGTTGTTACTAAAAAATAAAAGTAAAAAGTAAAAATTTGGTAAGTACCAAGGAAAAAGTGAAATTAATTTGAATATGTCCAAAATATTAATACATCAATATAAAATTATATCAATAGAAATACATAAATAAAAATTATCAAGGAGATAGTTTACATTTT